CTGGTGGGCACGGAATGGACTGGGGCCTCAGAGTCCTTGATGACCCCTGCTGAACCGATCGGGGCCTCAGCCACCAGTGACCTCAGCTGCTGTCCACACCTGCCAGCCAGGCAAACAATGTCTACTGTGAGGCCAAAAAGATGCATTTTGGCCAGAATTATCTTCGTGTTTGAGGCCATCATCGTATTTTGACTCAAAGTTGTCAAAAAATGTAGTCTGGCTTGGCCCATTTTTAATTATGTGGATCCACACACACTGACACACACGTGTGTCAAAGCCACCGCTGTGAACCATGTGGTGTTGCCGGGAAGTCACCAATACATGAAACGCAAAGACAAGAGGAGAAGAAACGATGTTTAGGGCAAATCTGTTGAGGTTTCCAGATTGAAAGGGGAAGGGAAAAAATGAGTATGTAAGTATAAACAAAATGGAAAGGTTTGGTGTAGATGTCTGTTTCAGCTTCGCTCGCGTGTATTTATAATTCCTTGGGTTTGTTATCACCCTGACACTGATGGCCGCATAGAGCTCATCGCTGTCTGCTCCGCTTCTTCTTGCTTGTTTATGGTAAGGCATATAATCAGTAAGACCCTTATGATGAGGTTAGAAATCACTTTACGATGTTATTCAGATCAGCCAACTAGTAAAAAGAAACGAAAAATGGGCCAAATGTTATCGCTGGTGCAGAAAGAAGATGGGACCTCAAATCCTTTTCAGACTCGTCATTAGCTTGTCTAGACAAAGATGTCTTCCATCCTGCAGCCAGCTCTTCAACCATGACATTTAAGAGCATGGTTTCCTCTGATTTCCCTGGTGCAGCCAAGACTTCAAGCCAAAGTTTAAGTTCTTCCCAGGAGTAACAGAAACAATTTCTCGCAACATGTTGAGAAACAAGGGCTGAGGAAAGTCAGGGCAGAAAGCTGGGGTCACGCTGTGGGAGCATGGGGGGCCCAGTAGGGAGTCTGGGTCCTCCCACCTGTGGGAGGCTTCACCACCAGCAGCAGCTGGAGAGAGAAGGGTACACAAGAGAAAGACAGAGTGAAGACTGTGTGGGAAAGAGAAGAAGAAACCGAAGCCGAAGCCCACCGAGGCCTGTGGAGCCCCCCGTGTGGAGCCTAGTGTGGTTTCCAGGATAAGGAACAGCTCAGTAGCGGCTCTGCTGGCCACGGCCCAGAGTAGGCTGCAGAAGAACCAAGCACCCGGGGTTGGCAGCAGACCCAAGACCGTAGTTTCCTGGGAGGCATCTCAGAAGGGTCGGGGGGCTGGTCCCTTGCCAATAAATGACCGTGTAATTACAGTGCCCATGTTTTCACTTGAGACATGGTAATCATGTGCATGGGAACCCTCGAATGTCTGTTTAATGTCTAGGTGGATTAGTGTGGAAATGTAAGTAGCGCTAGTAGAAGAAGCCCCAGAGCCCATCTATTCTAAATCTTCATTTTAAAGATGAGGAGCTTGAGAGATGAGATTGGCCTCCAGGACTGCCCGGCGTCTTGTGCTGGACCCACGGACATTTGGGGTGTCAGTGTCATGTCCCAGGACCCTGAACCTCTTCAGGCAGAAGGGCACAGGGGCTCCAGAAAAGCACATCCAACTCCTGTGTCTACCCAACGTGGCCAAGTGCCTTTTAAAGGGAAGAGTATGAACCAAGGTCCCTAGTGGTGTAAACCGTTAACGCAGGACTACTAACCTAAAGGTACTGTGGCAGAAAGGCCTGGGGATCTGCCTCTGTTAAGATTACAGCCAAGAAAGCCCAATAGAACAGTTCTACTCTGTAACACACGGGGTCGCCATGAGTCAAAATGGACTCAACAGCAGTGAGATTGGTTTTTTTGTGGCGAGGTGGGGGAAGGAAGTATGAATTATCCCAAATGATGGACTATCCAATTAGTGCCTTGTGTTAAAACCTCAGAAAGGGGCAGGGCAGTCTGGGTGACTAACAAGTCAAGGAAGCAGGTGACAGAGTATTCAGACTTTTTGATTCCTTCAACCAAAACGGTCTCCAAGCAGCTGTCATTAATAGCCCAAAGACTTAACCTCCCGCTTCCAAATGGAAGCCACTTTAAACCAGCCCCTTGTGCTGTTGCAGGAAACCCTGGTGGCACAGTGGTTAAGAGCTATGGCTGCTAATCAAAAGGTTGGGAGTTTGAATCCACCAGGTGCTCCTTGGAAACTCTATGGGGCAGTTCTACTCTGTCCTGTAGGGTCGCTATGAGTTGGAATCGACTTGACGGCAACAGGTTTTTTGTTTTTTTTTGTGTGTGTGTGTGCTCCTCCCCTGCACCTGCCGAGGCACACGGTTCCTCTCTCTGGCCAGCCCGGCTCCCAGCCCCATTTCCTGCCTACTCAAAGTCTGGTCCACGGGCCACCAGGTTACAGTCCACGCTGAGGCGAGCAGACACGGAGCTGTGAAGTAAGCATTTAGAAACTCCTAGAGACCAGCCCGCACGTGTGCACGAAGAAGCATTTGAAGCCTCTGAGGTGGTGCTCATGAAGGCGGCTGCCAGGAGTGACCTCCCTGTCCTTTGTAATGGGGAAGAAGGGATCCCATCTTTGGCTCTTTGCACTGTGTCACAGCATTGCGTTTCAATCATCCCGGGCATTCTTTCTGGCGTGAACAGGACAATCTCCACGCAAATTCACGAGCCAGAGCCGCATTTCCGTGTGAATGCCGGCACCTCGCTCCCCAGCCGGCTATTTGCACAGGGCAGTGAGCTCAGCCAGGCTCCAGATACAATGAAGAAGTATTTTTCTGTTGAAATCATATAGTCGTCCCCTTAATGGTTATGATGAAATCTTCCTGTATCGGTTGAGGATATGTGTCTTGGTTAAACTGCTTTACAAAATTGTTGCTGCTGTTGTGACCATTGAGCCAACTCTTGACGCATGGCAACCCTGTGAGCGCAGAGTAGAACTGCTCCATAGGGTTCTCATGGTTGTGGCCTTTGCAAAACAGATCGCCAGGACTTTCTTCCACGGCACTGCTAGACAGGTTCAAACCGCCAACCTTTCGGCTAGCAGTCGAGTGCTTAATCATTTGCACCACCCAGGGACTCCTGCCTTAAAAAATAGCCATGTGTATTCCTCATTTTCAAAAAGATCAACTACCCCTTGCAAAAGGTATTTATAGGATTTAGCGTTGATGGTTCAGGAGTACAAAACTGTTCTTTCTCTGTGGGTTGTATAAGATTCTCTTCTGATACTTTGGTCTGCCAAGCAGGGCAAAAACAATTCTGATCACCTAAGAGCTTTCTGTCGCTGATGACAAACACTGCAGGGGGGCACTGGCTGGGGAGGGAACAGACGTGAACTCAGACTATCTAGGGCTGCTCCCTGGAGCCCTGGTGGCGCAGTGGTTAAGAGCTCGGCTGCTAACCGAAAGGTCGGCAGTTCAGATCCACCGGCTGCTCCTTGGAAACCCTCCGGGCCAATACTATCCTGTCCTATAGGGTCACCGTGAGTTGGAACAGACTTGATAGCACCTAACAACAAGACTGCCCCATAGCAGCCAGGCTCCTCAGAGCTCCTCGGACGCGAGGATGGTGAGACTTTGGTTTGCTTCCTTTGAACGTGCCATGAGGAAAGACTAGTCGCTGGAGAAGGACCTCACGTTGGTACAAGGTCAGAAAAAACGAGGGAAACCTTCCATGGGATGGATTGACACAGTGGCCACACCAATGGACTCAGACATACCGATGACGATGAAGATGGCGCAGGACCAGGCAACGTTCTGTTCTATGTAAGGTGGCGGTGAGTCAGAGCCAACCGGACAGCAGCCAATAACAGAGGCCCCATACTCGGGCCTTGGCTACAGTAGGCCTCGGACAGAACAGTTCTGCTGAGGCAGAGGAGCAGTGGGTTCAAAAGACCTCATTTTTAAAGAAAATTCTCTGTGCATTACCAAGTATCAGTTACCAGTTGCCGTTGACTCTGACTCATGGCGACCCCATGTGCGTCAGAGCGGAACTGTGCTCCACAGGGTTTTTGGTGGCTGTTTGTTTGAAAGTAGATTGCCAGGCCTTTCTTCCAAGGTACCTCTGGGTATACTCGAACCTCCAACCTTTTGGCTGTATTAACCATTTGCACTACCAAAGGACTTTGCATTACCAAATACAGTGACGCCCTAGAGAGCCAGAACTCTACGGGACTGCCTTGTTTTTCTGTATCTTGCAAGTTTTCCACCTTTGCCAGGGTGCTGTCTTACAACTTTTCGATCACGATTAGTGGAAATTATGTCAGTTTTCCTTCTCTCACAGGTCTCTGCCTTACAGAGGCTCCAGCTTTCACAGGTTTTACCGTGGCACATTTCTCCTGGTCTCGTTTTTCCCTTAGATACTATTCCATGTAATGTCAAAACTGAACACCCAGAAAGAGAGGTGCTGTGTGGATGCTGGGGACTCAGAGGTGAGGGTGGGGCCCAGCAGGCCACTGTGATACCCGGGGAGGGGGTGAGAAGGGGTTGGGGGAGGGTGCTTAAGTCTGGGGGAGGGAAGGCGGGAGAAAAGGAGCCAGCCTCAGAAGGTGGGCTAAAGGCAGAAGAGGAAACTCAAGACAGAACAGAACAGGAAGGAAGAAAAGGAACAGGGAGGGCTGAGAGATGTTTATCAGAAACCAGCAGATACCCCATTTAGTTTTGAGGGAACTTTTATTTTTAGTAGGAGGGAAAGATTTCAATGCATAAATAAATGCATAAAAGAATGGCCTCCCTTGCCTTGGAAAAAAGGCCTGGTGATCGATTTGTGAAAAATCAACCATTGAAAACCCTGTGGAGCACAGCTCTACTCTGACACACACAGGGTCGTCATGAGTCGGAGTTTAGACAGCAACTGGCTTTTACCTAGTGGGACAGGGGACGTGGAGAAGAACCTGCCTCCTATGCCCCTAGGCCTGTCTGCACTTCTCCGGAGGGCTGGCGCAGCCCCCTGGGAGAACAGCAATGGAGGCGGCCCACTCGAACCTTCCCCCTTCCCAGTCAAGGGGCATGCACGGAATTGTCTTGGAAAGCTATTTAAATACTGAAATACATTGGATATTCTGTTCCAGTTTTTTGTTTGTTTCTTTTTTCTCTTTGCTCAAACTCATGGAGCTCCACCTCTGAGAAAGACGTGCGCTGTGCAAACTTGGTAAATATCTAAGAAGAAAGGTCTGAAGCCGGATCTCCACTGTTACATGAGTTACATGAGTGTAGATGGATAGTTTTCAAGTGCACCTCTGCCCTTGCTTGGTGTGCAACATTTCAGTGAAGGGTTTGCAAAGTACGCAGACAGCTGGGCTTGCAGCGGCCTGGGCTTGGCCTGTTCCTGAGCAGGGGTGGCCTCAGCTCGGCCGCAAAACCACTGAGCGTGTCCAATCCCGAGAAAACCAAGAGCACACGCTCTGTTTGGAAGTTTTCTTTTTACAGCCCAGTGGAAACGTGCGCAGTAATGATCAATCTGAGCGTTCCGCTGGAGTTTTTTTTTTTTAAGACAAAACATTTATTTCAAAGGGCGGGTAAGTGTTTTTCTGCAACAGCCAGGAAAACAATCGGCCCCAGAGCAGTCAGAGTTCGTCTTAATAAATAATGAAATGCCGATGAGGGTTCCTAAACTTCATACACTGCATCACACATTTTAAATAAATAACATCCTCTCTGCTACTGAGTATCTAAAAACCGTCCCCAGGTGTGCGCGGATCTTGGAGTGGAACAGATCTCTGAGCTTGAGACGAGGGCTCACAGCCCTGCGTGTGACCCCCCACCCCATGCCGTGGCCCTTCTGAGGGGGCTCAGGTGGGCGCGGCTGTGTCTGGAGCTTCCTGAGGTGCCTGGGCCCCGTCACCAGGGTGGGTGGTTTCACTGCCGTTCAGCTGGCAGCTCACACAAAGTCAAAGGAAGCGCTGGGAAGATCTTTTGGGTCAAGTGACGAGTCTGAGTCCGTCTTGGTTTCTGAATGAGGTTTTCTATGTTGTTATTTGCTTCGTAACGCCAACCTCTTGGCTAGCTGGCGTTTTCCTGTGGGTTTGTTGTAGGCGGCACATTCGGCATCTCTGAAGTGACAGACGTGTGTGGTCAGGGCTCCTGCTAGTACAGCGTGCCGTCCCCTTAACATTCTACTACCTCAGTACCGGAGAGAGGCAGCGTCTGCATCTAAGAAGCCACAGCGTCGCCACTGGTTTCATCCACCCAGCCGAGTGATGGGGTGAGACCCGCCGCGAGGCACCTGGTTGTCAGAGTTTGTGTTTTCCTGGTTTGGGTGGGTACCCAGGCACCGCACCCACCTACGCCCTCGCTGCTGTCCTAGGCTCTGCGTGTAGTTGCAATGGTTCCAGGAATTCGCAAGTTTGAATTTGCGTTTCATCCAGGTTCCTGTGCAAAACGCAAGGGTCTATCATTCTTCTCAACCCAGGAGGCTTTGTTTGAACTTTTCCGTGAAGGACGGTTTGTGAAGCACGAGACTAACGTGGTCAGTGTTCCTTAAACCTGAAAGATATGAGAAAATAACAGCTGGGGAAACTGGATGCCACCGTTTAACTTCATACAAAACGCAGAGCCCACAGAGCATGTCTCTGTCTCCCTCTGCCAGGCCTTCTTCTGGAAGCGGACTGTGATGGCAGATAGGCCCTGATACAATCCCCACAGCCCGATGGTGGGCAGGGAGGAGATAGAACGGGAGAAGAAAGGGGTGAAGGGCAGCTGCAGCTCAGGGGCAGCTGCAGCTCAGGGGCGAAGGACAAAGGAGGCCATTTTCCCTCGCACGTCTTCATCCGGATCCCTCAACGATGGCCAGGATCATATACACACAGGGGAGTTTTATTAGCAAAGGGAAGAACGAGAGGTGTGGACGGCAGATAAGCCAGAACAACATTGTAAGGCTGAGCACAGGTGGGTGGCAGACTTACGGAACTTGGTCCCCCGCTGGTGTCCCTGTGCAGCCCAGCTCCTTGTGGATGAGGCGGATCAGGCACTGCACCCAAAACAGAGAGGGACGAGATGTGTCAGTGCAGCCGAGACCCCGCAGACACCGCCCTGGTGCCTGCCACCCTCAGGCCTGTCCCCCACGGTACACCCTAGCATGTCTGCTCCAGGAGATGCTTTTCTCAAGAGGAACAGACAGAGGTAAAGCCTACACAGGGAGCTGCAGGCCTGGCTGTTTCTGGCGAGACCTACAAGTAAGGGTTTGAGGCTGCGCCTCTGAAAGTAAGGTGTTCAGCAGCCTGAACAACTTCTGGATTCAAGTAATGGTTACAATAAAATTAGTGTGATAATAAAACGTTCACAATGGGAAAAGACAGAAAACAAAGACAAGGTGACAGGTGGACTGCGGGGACGCTGGGGAGGACCTGAGAGCGTGTGGGTCACACTGAACACTGGATGGCGTCTCCTCAGCCGTGGGCTGGGAGGCTCAGGAGCGGGTCTGGGGAACAGCCGTGTTGCCTCAGGAAGCCTCTCAGAGAGCACCTGGGACCTCCTCAAACAGGCCATCAGTGAGCACAGCTGCCCCGACCGCAGACAAGCACGGCCCTGCTCCCTCCTCAGCTCTGCTCCTGACTCAGTGCCTTGCCTTCAGTTCTTTACATGGTAAAAGCGCTGAGAGCAAGTTCAGCAGCCAGACTAATGACCAAGTGTCACAGAAAACTTAACTGGTTTTCTCTGCATTTGCAAGTATGGCTCTAGTCTTTCCCCCAGTGTTACCCAGACACACAAAGGGGCCGCCCGCCCTGCAACGCATTCCTGAGGGATGTCCTGCTGCTTCTTCGAGGGCAGCAGGTAGGTACCTGCAGGCCGGGGATGGTCCACGGTGCCAAAAAATGTGGGAGGCCCAGCAGTGGGGGCGAGTCTTTGGTGGGGGGCACTTCATAAACACAGACACATACACATACACCCAGCTACACTATCAAGCCTCAGGTCAAAACTCTGGAAGGCGTAAGAGTTTCTATTTTCTGAGATGCTTATCATTCAAGCATTCAAGAAGGACCTTAGAAGCCATGCGTATGCTATGATTTCAGGTTAAAGACAACAAGTATTTCTCCTACAGATAAAATGTAGCTTGGCTCGACACACTGAGCAGTGTTTATTATTGTCATGGGGGTAAAGGTAGTGGGAACATTTCAGATGCTACAGATAGTATTGGTGGCAACAGAAAAAAGGACAGGAATACTATTGTTAAATAATTTGATCACTGCATTTGAAACTCTAGCTCCAGCTACTACTATATGTTTGCTGAATTTGAGCCGGTACCTTATCAACACTATAAATTCTATCAAGCCCAATGTGTGTAAAGTGTTGGTCGGAGGAGGTCTATGATTATGAATAGCGGGTCACTAGGACAGATGGAAAACAAGAAGTGTTATTGACCACCTCATTTAGTCCTCCATTTAATACTTCATCTCTTCCTCTTTTTGTGCTGCATTCTGGATCATTTTCTTATATCTATACTCTGCTTTAGTAATTCTCTCTTTAGGTAGATCTAATTTGCTTTATAAACCCATCCACGGAGGATTTTTTCTGCTGAAGACCAAACACATGATTCATCTCTAGAATTTCTATTTAGCTGTTTTTTAGACTTGCAGTGTATTTTGATAGTTCTTTTCTCATGAGTCCAGCTCTACCTTTTATGTCTTTAGAAACGTTAAATACATTTATTTTTACAGCTTATCTGATAATTCTTTGATCTGCGGTGTTAGGAGGTCTAATCCTGCTATTTGTTGTGCCTGATAATACTCCTTCAGAGTGGACGGCTTCCTCGTGTTTCATAATCTTGGATTGTGAGCTCATCTTCAGGAGTATGTTAGTTGTGAGAATCCTGTGCATTTGGATTTGCCCCTCTCAAATGGTTTTGGATTTATATCACCTACCATCCCAGGACCAATTTTATTCTTTTTTTTTTTCTTTGTATATTTTGGTAATATAAATTCAAAAAGTAAAGCTGACTGTGGGCAAGTCCAAAATACTGGTGAATATTTTCCCACATCTGGTGACCAGGTAAAATGGACACAAATTCTTATTGCCCTCCTGAGCCAATGCGCAGATGTTGTCTAATACACCCTTTTACTAAAAGCACAGCCCTTTAAAGGGCCTGGCTCCAGTTCCAACTCCCCATGTTGTGCCAGCCCAACTCCTCATCTCTTATTACCTATGGACATACTGTATTTTTATGCAAATAACGTGTGCCTTCTACGTTTGTTTGCCAACCATGCCCTTCTCCTGTGAGGTATTTTCATAAGTGACACTACGCCAATTTTTTTTACATGTTGTTGTAAAAAAAAATAGTATGGCACACTCACGAAAATAACTCGTGGGTAGGGGGCATGGTTGGCAAACAAATGTAGATGGCGTGCATTATTTGCGTAAATAAAAATACAATAACCACCCCAGCCCTAGATTCCTAAGATTGCTAACTTGTTCCAGGGCTGCTCTGCCATCAGCCTGTGAACTAGTTTTCTGTTGGCTCTACATTTTTGGCTCCTGGGAATTTCCTTACTTCCTTGTGAGTTCAGCTATGCATTTAAAAGGATTTTCAATATATATTACCCAGTATTTCTAAAGAAGAAGAATTATCAAGGGCTCTAAACAGCTGTAAGGATGGAAATTTTGCTGCTACTTAGTGGAAATACATCTGGGGATATAACAAAAACCCTTAGGCATTTAAAAAACAAATGCTCTGAGGATCAGCCTTTTGAAACTTAATAGGTTCATAACCGAGAGATGGTATTTGATTCTGTATGTAACGGCGGAGCTGTGTTTTAGGGATCCCTGGAATTCAAATGCAGAATTTTTGTTTAATTGATACAGTTTATATTTCTATCAGGATTTTTATTGGGATTAATCTCAGCTTTTCTTCTGGTGAAGCAAGAGGAGAGGCATGGCTTTAAGGTTTGGGGACTTTGTGCTGCAAGATGACATGTAAGGATAAGCACACTCTAATCACCCTCAGATGTGTGTGCCTGTAAGACGGTCACATCGGCACTGGTCCTCTCCATCCTGAAGGAACTCGAGTCTTGTTAAGTCAGGAAGGGGAGAGAAGCAGGGCCCCAGGGAAGACGAAACCAGGAGGCAGCTCAGCATCCACACTGGCAGCCTTTTTGCTCCTTTTTCCCTCTCCCATCCCTTTGGGTGAAAGAAGTCAGCGTGCTCCTGCAGTGTTAGGACTTGACAAGAGGAAGGACGCCAGAACAATAACGGCCACCACTGATGTGGCCAGGCGGTAGACATTATTTCTTTTAATTTCCACAATAATCCTATTATTGGGCACAATTATTCTACCCATTTTAAAACCGTGGCAGCTACAGAACAGACGGGTTAAATAACCTGCTCAACTCACACACATATGACAGTTGACAAAGCCAGGATTTAAAACCAGGGAGCTCCATGCATCTACATCATCCTCCCTGAAACTACAAAGCAGCAGATTGACCTATAATCTGTTTTTAATATTATTTTTAAACCAGATAAAGGGTCTTCTACCATGAATATTTAGAGAAGGACCATCTGTTGGGATGTGTCATTAGAAAAAAGGAAAAATAGTCTACAGGGATGTTTGGCCAACCACCCTAGATATGCCCATTAAGTGCTGCTTGGATTAAAAATAGGATGACTTACCAGTAAGGCACAGGCATCTGCAAACATCAACATGTAAAACACATTGTTCCATCCAGAGGGGGAGATGAGCCCAGCCAGCAAAGGGCCCAATGCTGCTCCTGAATGTGGCAAATGGACACACACGGTGTGTTTAAGGAAAATTCTGGCACAGGACATTTAAAATACCCAAGCCCAATCAATATATAAAAGATGCTAAACACTTCACTCAAAATGAAAGAAAAATGTATTAAAAAAACCAAACCCAATCCATTGCCACTGAGTTGATTCCAACTCATAATGACACTATAGGACAGAGTAGAACTGCCCCATAGGGTTTCCTAAGCTGTAAATCTTCACGGAAGCAGATTACCACATCTTTCTCCCACTGAGCAGCTGGTGGGTTCGAAGCACCGACCCTTCAGTTAGCAGCCGAGTGCTTAACCACTGTGCCACCAGGGCTCCTGGAAAAAACATATTAGAACAATAAACCCATTCTCAGTTACCAGATTGGTAAACGTTAAAAAGATTAAAAATGCTTGGTATCAGTAAGGGTATAATTGGTTCAACCTTTTTCTGGAACCAAATCTAAAAATATTTTCTGGAACCAAATCTAAAAAAGATTTAATGTATGATATCAAAAATGTTCATTCTTTTGATCTAACAATGTCATTATTTTAAAAATTCATTATAAAGAAATACTTTCATAATCCAATGCACAATTTTGAATATTCCTACACTATAAAAAATATTATTGGGTAGAATCTGAATAAGCTCGGTATCTACTAATACTGAATCAATGTTAATTTCTTGATGTTGATAATTGTACTGTGGTTATATCAGATAATTCCTTGTTTTTAGGAAATAGATACTGAAGCAGTTAGGGGGACGGGGCAGCAGGTCTGCATTTCACTCTTAAGCAGTTCAGAAAAAAACATGTGTATATATCTGTATGTACAAATATATGACAGAGAGTGAGGGAAGCGGGAAGGAGGGAGGAAAAGGTGAAAGACGAAGGGAAGGGTATAAAATGAATATTTCGTACAATGAATTCTGTGAATTCTATGTACTATTTTTAAACAACTTTTCTGTAAGTCTGAAATTATACCAAACTACATTTTCAATAACAAAATACAAAAGAAAACAAATATTCTGAAAAATGCCCAAAGATATCTGTATGATATTATTTGTTGAAGCAGTTTGGTTATTTCTTTTCCTAATAGGGCTTGGAATAAATTACAATCCATTTGTAGATGGTTTACTGTTTTGGTAGATGTGTGGTAAGAAGTGTGAAGGAAGAATTGACACCAAATTATTAACTGAGATGTAATCTCTGAGACATGAGATTATTAGGGTCATTCATACTTTATACATATTTTTGTTTCAAGTTTTTACAAAGAGTACTTACTACTTTTATAATTGTTTTTAAAAACAATTGTGTGTGTGTTTTAAGCCTCAGAAGAACTTCCAGGTAAACATGGTAGATTGTTCATATGTGTTGATCTCTATTACCTCCCAAACACCATGAAATGGACCGCACACTGAATTTTAAAAATTATAAGTCCACAAGGAGAAGGGCAGATGAGAGAAGGCACGTGTTCTTGGACAGGGGCTCCAGTTTTCCCTGCTCTACTACGTGTCCCCAGAGGGAGGTGGCAGAGGGACTCCTCCCTCAGGCCCAGGACTACCCAAGCACATGAGGCAGAGGAGGGATGGAAGGTGGGTGGCAGAGAAAAGGGGGGTTGGTTGAGTCTCTTAGATATGTTCCCTCTGCCCCACTTCCACATTCCAGGTTTCTCCTCTTCATCCTCACTAATCTAGTGACCACTCCACCCTGAGCCTCGCAGAAGAATCCGAACCAGTGGGCTCTGGGATTGGGAACACTAAGTTCAAAGCCGGGCAGACGTGAAGCACCCGACTGAGAACAGCGGCACCCAGGAAAAGATGTCAGCACACACCATGCAGCCCTGCCCACCCTCTCACACAATGACAAGAATGCTGGGGACCCACATTCCCAGGCAAGCAGAGAGGAATCTTCCCCGGATCCCAGTCAGATCACAGTCGAATCCCACTACTGTGAAGACCAGCAGGTGACATGCCCTCCTATGCAGAAAGGACTTCTAATACGTGTTTAGTGGCTCATTCTTAAATATGAGAATATGACAGATGGCCAAGGTTCACCTTGTGTCCCTGGAGAGGCCCAAAATGAAAGCAAATAATGGGAGAAGGGAAGACCAAGAAGAAAAGACAAATCAGAGAGAAAAAAATTCTGATACCTTCAGAGGGGTACAGAAAATTAGGTTAAACCATACCAGACTCCCATTTTTGTAGCTGAAAATCAGTTCAGTGTTGGCAGTTTCGTATAATTCAACACACAATGCACCTAAGAAATAACCACGGGATGCACTAAAAGGGCAGTAAAACACTGACGAACCTTAAAAACATGACAGCCAAAATGAAAATTTCAATACAGGGTTGGAAAATAAAGTCACGAAAACCTCTGTGGAAACAGAAGAAAAGAACAAAGAGATGGGCAGGAAGGCAGAGGAGAAAAAAAGAAAGAAAATTGAAGGATTAACCCAAAGAGTCCAACATCTGATTGACAAGTTTTCCAGAAAGAAAACATGGAAATTGGCAGGGAAAACTTACCACAGAAACAATAGAGCATAATTTCCCAGAAATGAGGGGCAGGTGTTACCAGACTGAATAGGCCTACTAGGTTCCCATAGCACAGATGAAGAAAAGGGTCCAGGGATAAAGAAATGACGCTAAATGATTTCTAAGAGCAGAAAACAAAGGTCATAAATGAAGGGCTGGGCTAAGAATGGCAACGGACTTCTCAATGGTAGCAATGGAAGTTAGAAGTCGTTGGAACTCAGAAGGAAAAGGATTTTCAACCCAGAATCCTATATCCAGACAAACTGTTCATCAAGTGAGAGAACAGAATACAGACACCACAAACTTGCAAACTCTCAAGATTTACCTCCTGTGAACTACTACAAAGGAAGCTACTAGAAAACGTTTTCCACCACAGAGAAGGAGTAAACGTGGGATCTAGCAAACAGGAGTCCAATGTAGGCAAGAGATGAAAGGCGTCTGGAGGCTGGTGGTGGAAGAAAGGTCTTCCACAAAAGCCACACAGCAGGTGGCCGTGGAGGGCCCCCACAGGAGGGATGGTGTGAAAGGAGATGTGGAGACGGGATCTGATGGTGACCGTGGGGAGGGCGGGAACAACTATGATGGAAACCGTAACAAAGAACAAAATGTATTTATTAGAGGATGGATAATCAAGATTTATTTCCTGGCTCAAGAGTGAACAATATTAACATGGCCAGTATAATTGATGAGGATGAAGGGAAGGGAAGTTGGGAGGGTGGAAAAAGAGCTAAGTCTCCATCTTCCTTCATAGAAAGGCAGTAGATAATGTTAAAAATGGATGAATCAAGAAATATATAAATATGTAATACCAGAAGTAGAAAAAAGTTGAAAGTAACTGCTTCCAGAAATGGGGGTTAGGGAACGTGGGGTACAGAAGTGTCATTTTTGTTAGAATAAGCCTATCTGGCTTCTAAAGTTACATGTATGTTTTACTTCGACAAAATAAAAATCAACTTAAAAAGATTCAATTTAATTTGATTTTCTCTTTATAAAACCTATAGACATGGCAAGCTTTGCATCACACCAGGATGCAATTCTAAGCACTGCAAATGCACCAAACTGATAAATTTGCGCTACTCAACCATATGGCACTTTTGTGATTTTTCAGAAGGCACCAACTTATTGACAACTACTCAAGCTTTGCTTCCTAAACAAACACCAACCTAATGGGTATTTACAACACTGAATACGTTGGGAAATGACGTGCGTTTCCACTTGCGGGTCTCTTTGCTTTTGTCTTGTTGGACAGCATTTCTGGAAAGAAATAATGACCTGAGCTCAGTGGTGTACAAAGTGCACGCGGTTTCCATGGTGATCATTACTCAGCCCTCCATGCACCCAAGCGGCAGGAAGCATCTGGGGAAGTAGAGTCCCCTAATCAGAACTCTGAGTGTAAGTGCTGCAGAAGTCAACGTGGGTGCCACGGTTTCAGGACGGTCAGTATTTTAGGCAGATTAACGAAAAGGTTTAGAGATGGCACCACGTGCACCCTGCCATCCTTCTGTGTGGCTAAAAAGGCATTTGAAACCATGCTTTGGTCTCTGCTGCCACGGCTCAGTGGGCAGTGGCAGTGGGCTCCCTCCATTTACAGAGGCAGGGCCTCCACCCGTAGCCACAAACGTCTGCTTCCCTGTCATTTTGAGAAGAGTATCAAGAAAAATGTGTTCTTCACCTAATTCATAATTTCCCTTTCTTTTTTTACTCCTACCCTCTGCTTTAAAATAGCAGTCAGGGCTGCCAGCGGAGTTCCAAATTAGCTTTCCAAAAAGGGTTTCACAGTGGGAGTTGGACTGATTCATAGACAAAGACCTCTGTTGGCAGAAGGCAGAGAGAAGGTCGTTCAAAGTCACGTGTAATTAATTAGAACCCCACCCAGCCCAGGAGTCTCCTGATGCCCAGTGAGTGTTTCCTACAGACGGTGCAGTGTGCCTGCTGTGCTGCCTAAGCCAGGGGGCCACGGGTGTGCTCTGCACAGGGACCCGTCATGAGGCCCACTGCCAGCCTCCCTTCATTCTTTGTCCTAGACACAACCCTAGACCCCAAGAGGTGCCCCATACGGGAATGGCCTCGCTTGAAACATCAGAGGGATGACCACTAAAACTGTCCAACAATTCAAAGTCATTTCGGGACCCAAGAAAATAAAGGAACCAACACTGAGGACAAAAATGGGGGTGGTACAATTTGGCAAACACAGAAGCCAAAGCCCAGCCTTCTGAACAACTGTGCACTCGCTCTGAACCACAGGAGACGGCCTTTACCCTGAGACTGCCTAGTCCTTCTCAGAAAAAGCATACTCTCTCACGGAAGGAAGATTCTGGGGTCTCTGGAAATGGCAGCAGAGCATGGATCTGGGGTTACTGTGACCCAGAGATAGGCCGGCCCTGCCCTGGTGAACATGTGGGCTGAGGGGAGGCCTGGGGCTTCTCTGACCCAGCCCTCATCTGTGAACTCAACAACCTGGACAGGAGGCCTCCTGGCCCTGTCTGCAGTTCTACGTGTCTTGGACCAGCCAGTCAATTCATTTAACATTCACTTATTGAGTGCCTACTATGTTCACGCTACTTATTCAATCTATATGCTGAACAAATATTCTGTGAAGCTGGTCTATATGAAGAATACAGCAACAGGACTGGAGGAAGACTCATTTACTACCTGAGATATGCAGATGACACAACCTTCCAGGCCAGAAATGAAGATGAACTGAAGTACTTACTGACAAAGACTACAGCCTGTAGTAGGGATTATACCTGTACATGAAGAAATCGAAAATCCTCGCAACTGGACTGATAAACATCCTGATAAATGGAGGAAAAGCTGAAATTGTCAAGAATTTCATTCTACTTAGATCAATAATCAATGCCCATGGAAGCAGCAGTCAAGAAATCAAATGACATATTGCCCTGGGCAACTCTGCTGCAAAAGACCTCTTTAAAGTTGTAAAAAGCAAAGATGTCATTTTGATGACTAAGCTGCAGCTGAAGGAAGTCATGGTCTTTTCAATCACCTCATACGCATGTGAAAGCTGGACAAAGAAAAAGACAAAAGAGAACTGATGTCTCTGAACTGTGGTTGTTGATGAAGAATACTGAATACATCGTGTATTGCTAGAAGAACCAACGGATCAGTCTTAGAAGCCATATAACCAGAATGTTCCTAAGAAGCAAGGATGGTGAGACTCTGGCTCTCTTACTTTGGGAGTATCATCAGGAAAGACCAATTGGTAGAAGAAGACATCTTGTTTGGTAAAGTAGAGGGTCAGGAAAATGAGGGAGACCCTCAGTGAGATGGATCGACGTAACAGCCGCAACAATGCACTCGAACATACCAATGATCATGAAGACGGCACAGATCAGGCAACATCTTGCTCTGTTATACTTAAGGTCACCGTCAGCCAGAGGCGACTTGATGGCAATTAACGACAACTATGTTCCAGGCACTGTTTCTGGGAAAACAGCAGAGAGCAAAACAGACAAAATCCCTGTCTTCACAGAGCTTCCATTTGAATGGAAGGAGGCAAGAAAAAAACGTAGCAAATAAGTCAGTGATATATTTGAAAAGGTGGTAAGCGCTTCAGGGAAAAACAGACTGGGAAGACAGGCCGTGAGTATGGGTGAAGAGGGATTTACACAGTCTCAGTGGGAAGGTGATACATGAGCAAAGACTTCAGTGACACAAGGGAGCCAGGCCTGGGGCCACCTGAGAGAAGAGCGCTTAGGCACAGGGCAGAGCCCATGCAGAGGGCCCACACTGGGGCCACGTCTGGGGCTTTCGGGGAGCCGCAGCGAGGCCATGTGGCTGCAGAGTGAGGAAGGGCGAGCAGTGGGAAGGATTTGGGATTCTGCATTAGTCAGAGAGCGGTGGGGGAAACATGCTGTGGGTGTTTTCTCTCCAGTCAGCATGAAGGGCCATGGCAACGGGCCAGAGAAAAACCTGTTTCCTACAACTGAGCAGAGGGGCAGTCCCGAGCCCCGGGCTCTGGTTCGCTGTGTTTTTGCTGATTCACACGGCGATCTGTCTGCACTGCCTTTGTCTGGCAGACCCTTTGTTTCACCATTACGAGGGTGCAAGCACAGGCCACGCCCCAAGTGCCTCCCCACCTGTCCTCTCCCACTCACTGTTCCCACTGGGGTTTGAGTATGGGGCAGCAGGAGACATGCCAGTTCCAATCCCAGACCCTTTCTGCCTGGCTGTGGGGGTTACATCAGTCAACCTCCCTGAGCTTCAACTTCCATACCCAGGGGGTGGACAGCCAAGGGCACTGACGGACGTGAAGGCCAAACACAGGACAGCTGTTAGGACCCCAGAAGGGAGGGGCCACAGTGTACACAGTGTACACGCTCCCTGCACAAGGCTAAGGGCAAGGATGCGAGGGTCACCCTCACTGACTTACTGATGAGAACGGGCTTGGCGTTTTTTACCAATTCCCACCTATCCGTTCATGAAGGGGATTAGCTGCTTATTTTGCCATCTTCCTTTACTCCAAAAGATGCTACTGAATGCTCTTCAAGAACCTTAACAAGGCTGGTAACAGTGAGAATCTCATATCCTTTCAGACCATTAGTTTTCCTGTAATTGCAATTTAAATAAGACTCCGTCCTTGAAATGGGCTACGTTTAGCCCACAGGCTGTAGTTCACCAATCTGTGGTTTAAATTAAAACCTTCTTACGTGCTCACGAAAACTCGCCTCAGTCAGAAACATCCACCTACCTCCTCTGAACCACCCACCCAAACTGAGGACACTCCTCACACGCCGACTTCCCCGGGCATGCAAAGCTTTGCTTTGCTCATATTTTAATAAGGCCAGGTGACCCTACTATCACCAAGGCAATCGGAATGCTGGGCATCTGTTCATTAGGATGGGACAATATGGCTTCTCCAGACTACAAACATCCTCTTAGAGCTAAAATTCTCCACATACCTACAGACCCTGTTCCGTCGATGATGGCGGTCACAGTGGCAAGGGCATGGGCATTTCCTTTCAGACTTTTATGTGTTCCCTAGAAGAGGAGAAAAAATAATGTGAAGCCCATTGCAGCAGTATTAGAGCTGAGACATAAACTTCCGCCTTCCAAATGACAACTTATTCAAATAACTTTGCAAAACGATTCAGCACATGGGATACTTTCCATTAGGAAATTTAAACGCTACCCCAAACTTAACAACGTTTCAGTGGTTTTTAATTTTTTATTGTGCTTTAGGTGAAAGTTTACAGAGTAAATTAGTTTCCCATTCAATAGTTTGTACAGAAAGTGTTCCATGACATTGGCTGCATCCCCTGCAATGTGTCAGCACTCTCCCCACTTCCGTCCTGGGTTCCTGTTCTTTCGTCTGGATTTTCTACCCCTTCCTGCCTTTTTATCTTAGCTTTCGGGCAAATGTCATCCTTTTGATCTCATAGAATTGATTGCTCTAAGGAACACGTTCCTCTTGGGTGTTATTGTTTATTTTATGAGCCTGTCTATTGTTGGCTGAAAGGTGGTCTCCAGGAATGGCTTCAGTTCCAGGTTCAGAGGGTGTCTTAGGATCACAGTCTCAGGGGTTCCTCTAGTCTCTGTCATACAAGTAAGTCTGGTCTTCTTTGTGAATTTGATTTGTTGTTCTATATTTCTCTCCCGCTCTGTCCGGGACCCTCTATTGTGATCCCAGTCAGAGGTGTTCTGGTCTCCGGGTCGTGTAGGCTATGGTTGGTGTGGTCCATCAGTCCTCTGAACTAATTGCTCCCTTGAGTCTTTGGTTTTCTTCACTCTCCTTTACTCCAGATGGGAAGAGACCGATAGTTAGATGGCCACTCACAAGCTTTCAAGACCCCAGACGCTACTAACCAAAGTAGGAAGCAGAACACTGTCTTTATAAATGACGTTATGCCAATTGATGTAGGTGTCCCACAAGTGTATAGTCTTTTGCCTTCGGGCCTAGGAACTTCGTCTTGCGAGGTGTTTGGTTATGGCTAAGAAGTTTCCATGACTGTGCCCCTTGTGTGCTTTATTATCTGTACTAATATACATGCAGGACCTACAATTATGTATGTAGAAATATCTGCAACCAAACCTATATCTGCAGGTGGGTATGATCCCTTACACCCTCCCACACCTCTTTAGCATACCTATCTACCTATGTATCCATTCGTAAATTATTGTTTGTTAAAACTATTGTTGTAGGATTGTCTACATTATAGTAATTACTTTGTTGTTGTTGCTGTTGTTAGATGCCACTGAGTCAGTTCCGACTCATAGCAACCCTGTGTACAACAGAACGAAACACCGCCTGGTCCTGCGTCATCCTCACAATCGTTGTTATGCTTGAGTCCATTGTTGCAGCCACTGTGTCAATCTATCTTGCTGAGGGTCTTCCTCTTTCTCGCTGACCCTCTACCAAGCATCATGTCTTTCTCCAGGGACTGATGCTCCTGATAACATGTCCAAAGTACGTGAGATAAAGTCTCACCATCCTTGCTTCTAAGGAGCATTCTAGCTGTACTTCTTCCAAGACAAATTTGTTTATTCTTTTGGAGTCCAGGGTATATTCAGTATTCTTCGCCAACACCACAATTCAAAGGCATCAATTCTTTTTCGGTCTTCGTTATTCATCGTCCAGCTTTTGCGTGCATATGAGACAACTGAAAACACCATGGCTTGGGTCAGGCACACCTTAGTCTTCAAAGTGACATCTTTGCTTTTCAACACTTTAAACAAGTCTTTTGCAGCAGATTTGCCCAATGCAATGCATCTTTTGATTTCTAGACTGCTGCTTCCATTGGTGTTGATTGTGGATCCAAGTAAAACGAAATCCTTGATAACGTCAATCGTTTCTCTGTTTATCATGATGCTGCTTATTGGTCCAGTTGTGAGGATTTTTGTTTTCTTTATGCTGAGGTGTAATCCATACTAGAGGCTATGGATTATGGATTCTGATGATCTTCATCAGTGAGTGCTTCAAGTCCTCTTCACTTTCAGCAAGCAAGTTTGTGTCATCTGCATATCTCAGGTTATTAATGAGTCTTCCTCCAATCCTGATGCCCCGTTCTTCTTTATATAGTCTAGCTTCTCGGATTATTTGCTCAGCATACGGACTGATGAAAGAATACAACCCTGACACACACCTTTCCTGACTTTAAACCATGCAGTATCCCCTTGTTCTGTACCAAGGACTGCCTCTTGATCTATGTACAGGTTCTTCATGAGCACAATTAAGTGTTCTTGAATTCCCATTCTTTGCAATGTTATCCATAATTTGTTATGATCTACACAGTCGAATGCCTCTGTATAGTCAATAAAACACAGGTAAACATCTTTCTGGTATTCTCTGCTTTCACCCAGGATCCATCTGACATCAGCAATGATATCACTGGTTCCATGTCCTCTTCTGAATCCGGCTTGAATTTCTGGCAGTTCCCTGTCGATATAGTGCTGCAACAGCTTTTGAATGATCTTCAGCAAAATTTTACTTGGCGTGTGATAGTAATGATATTGTTTGATAATTTCTGCATTCGGTTGGACCACCTTTCTTGGGAATAGGCATAAATATGGATTTCTTCCAGTTGGTTGGCCAGGTAGCTGTCTTTCGAATTTCTTGGTATAGACGAGTGAGTGTTTCCTGTGCTGCATCCATTTGTTGAAACATCTAAATTGATATTCCATCAATTCCTGGAGCCTTGTTTTTTGCCAATGCCTTCAGTGCAGCTTGGACCTCTTCCTTCAGTACCATCGGTTCCTCATCATATGCTACCTCCTGAAATGTTTGAACGTCAACCAATTCTTTTTGGTATAGTGACTCTGTGTATTCCTTCCAACTTCTTTTAATGCTTCCTGCATCGTTTAATATTTTCCTTGCAGAATCCTTCAATATTGCAACTCAAGGCTTGAATTTTTTCTTCAGTTCTTTTAGCTTGAGAAATGCTGAGCCCTTTTAAATCTTCTATTCAACTCTTTTACTTAATCATTTCTTCCTTTCACTTTAGCTACTCGACATTCAAGAACAAGTTTCAGAGTCTCTTCTGACATCCATTTTGGTCTTTTTTTTCTTTCCTGTCTTTTTAATGACCTCTTGCTTTCTTCATGTATGATGTCCTTGATGTCATTCCACTATTCTTCTGGTCTTTGGTCATTAGCGTTCAAAACGTCAAATCTATTCTTGAGATGGTCTCTAAATTCAGGTGGGAATGTCGTATATACTCACTGTCATACTTTGGCTCTTGTGGACTTGTTCTAATTTTCTTCAGTTTCAACTGAACTTGCATAGGAGCAACTGATGGTCTGTTCCACAGTCAGCCCCTGGCCTTGTTCTAACTGATGATATTGAGCTTTTCCATCGTCTCTTTCCACAGATGTAGTCGATTTGATTCCTGTGTATTCCATCTGACGAGGTCCACGGGTATAGTTGCCATTTATGTTGGTGAGAAAAGGTATTTGCAATGAAAAAGCCATTGGTCTTGCAAGATTCCATCATGCGATCTCCAGCATGGTTTCTCTCACCAAGGCCATATTTTCCAACTACCAATCCTTCTTCTTTGTCTCCAACTTTTGCATTCCAATCACCAGTAATTATCAATGCATCCTGATTGCATGTTCGATCAATTTCAGACTGCAGAAGTTGGTAAAAATCTTCAATTTCTTCATCTTTGGCCTTAGTGGTTGGTGCGTAAATTTGAATAACAGTCATATTAACTGGTCTTCCTTGTAGGCGTATATGGATATTATCCTATCACTGACAGCATCGTACTTCAGGATAGATCTTGAAATGACTAGGGAGAAGGGTCCAGTGGTCTACTTCTGAAAAGAACTGGCCAGTGAAAACCCTATGAAAAGCAGCGTAACATTGTTTGATATAGTGCCGGGAGATGATCCCCTCAGGTTGGAAGGCACTCACAATCCAAAGTGGCAAAGAGCTTCCTCCTCAAAGTAGAGTCAACCTTAATGATGTGGATGGAGTCAAGCTTTTGGGACCTTCATCTGCTGATGCGGCACGACTCAAAATGAGAAAAAACGGCTGCAAACATCCATTAATAATAGGAATGTGGAATGTTCGAAGTATGAATCTAGGAAAATTGGAAATCATCAAAAATGAAATGCAACGCATAAACATTGATATCCTAGGCAATAATGAGCTGAAATGGACTGGTACTGGCCTACTGGCCATTCTGAATCAGACAATCACATGGTCTACTATGCCAGGAACAAATTGAAGAGGAACGGCATTGCATTCATCGTCAAAAAGAACATTCCAAGTAATTACTGTAGTTGTCTTTTACTCTTGCGTTCCTCTCAGTGTCTTCCTTTGTCTGGTCATGTTGTGCTGACTTCCCCCACATTGTTTGTTGCCTTTCCCGTCACCAAATACTAACATGTGTCTTCTATCTAGTTAGTTAATTTTCCCTCCCTTCTCCTTCTATCCCTGGTAGCCATCAAAGAATGTTTTTTTTCCTGGGTGTAAACCTTTTCTTGTTTTTTTTTTATAATAGTGGTCTTATAGAATATTTGTCCTTTTGTGACTGACTTATTTCACTCAGAATAATATCCTCCAAATTCACTCATGTAGTGAGATGTTTCATGGATTCATCATTATTCTTTATTGTTGTGTACTATTCCATTATGGGTATATACCACAGTTTGTTTATGCATTCATCTGTTGAGGGGCACTTAGGTTGTTTCTAGCTTTCTGCCATTGTGAGTAATGCTCCAATGAACATGGGTGTGCATATGTCTATTCATGTCACGGCTCGTATTTCTTTAAGGTATATACCTAGGAGTGGGATTGCTAGATTATGTGGTATTTCCATTTCTAGCTTTTTAAGGAGGCGCCATACTGTTTTCCATAGTGGTTGTAGTTTCACAGGGTCGCTATGAGTCGAAATCGACTCGATGGCAATGGGTTTGGTTCGGTAGTTTCAGTGGTTTTTAGTAGTAAAAAACTATCAGCAATACCTGTTCAAGTGTATTCTAGTTAATGAAACTCTTGGAATCGTCTTCAAATAAATATTTACTCAGCACAATCATACTCTTCACCGGGGTACCACACACATCAATATAGGAGATAAAAAGATGAATGACACGTGCTCCCTGTCCCTAAGCTGCACTGGCATCAGTGTCCTCTTCTATGTGTCTGTTGAATTCCTGAGCCATGACCTTGTTGGGTATCTCTGCAGTGTCCAAAACTCAACCAGATTAACAGCAAAAACCAGGGAAGGGTGGGGAAGAGGAGAGACCCAAGAAACCATCGCAGGAACGCAAGTCCTACATGACGAACCACTGGGAGCTCCGGTTTTTAAAAAGCCACATCTAAAAGGTTTAAAACAAAAACAAAAACAGCACAACCATGGTCTCCGGGAACATCTAGCTCAATTGGCATAACACGGTTTATAAAGACAATGTTCTACATTCTACCTTGGTGAGTAGTGTCTGGGGTCTTAAAAGCCTGTGAGTGGCCATCTAAGATACTCCACTGGTCTCATCCCTTCAGAAGCAAGGGAGAATGAAGAGAACAGGATACAAGGAAAAGAGTAGTCCGAAGGACTAATTGTCCACAGCTACCAAGGCCTCCACCAGACTGAGTCCAGTACAGCTAGATGGTGCCTGGCTACCACCACTGACTGCTCTGACCAGGATCACAACAGAGGGTTCTGGACAGAGCTGGAGAAGGATGTAGAACATAATTCTAACTCACAAAAAAAAAGACCAGATTTACCAGCCTAAAGGAGACTGGAGAAACCCCGAGAGTATGGCCCCCAGACACCCTTTTAGCTCAGTGGTGAAGTTATCTCCGAGGTTCACCGTTCAGCCCGGGAGCGGACAGCCCCGTAAAACCAAATGGGACTAATGAGGTACAGTAGTCCAGTGACAAGGGCCAGAAGGCAGAAGGGGACAAGGAAGCTGGTGACAGGGAACCCAAGGTTGAGTAAGGATATTGTTGATGTGTCGTGAGATTGTTAACCATTGTCATAGGGCAACATGTGTAGTAACTGTTAAATGAGAAACTACTTTGTTCTGTAAGCCTTCATCTTAAGTGAGAATAGCAGCACAACTGGAAGCGCGTAGTCAATGTCACTGAACTGTGCATGTAGAAATTTTTGAAATGGTATATCTTTGGCTATGTGTATTTTCACCAAAAAAAAAAAAAAGGTTGAGAAGTTAGAGAGCTGACATGTTGTGGGGTTGTTAACCAACGTCATAAAACAATATGTGTACTACTGTTTCATGAGAAACTATTTGTTCTGTAAGCCTTCACCTGAAGTACAATAAAAAAAAAAGAAAAAAAATCAGGAAAAATAGTGCCTGGAAGCCTAAAACTCTAAGAATGAACTAAAACTTGAAAAAAACAAATGCTTGTGTGTGTGTGTGTGTGTATGTGTGTGTGTACACACCTATGTGATATAAAAATAAAGAAAAGCACACATACACAAAACTCAGGGTCTTACACTTTTTGGAGTCCGCAACAATACGTGAAAGTTCCCTCTCTGCCTTCTAAGCCCATGAGGACAGACCTGTCAATGGTCTGTTGTGGATCCTTCTGGAATTTTCTATGATACACAGACACGAGTATGCACACACCCACACATACCCAAGGACACATTCTGTAAGGGCATTTTTAGGTGTATTCCAGCCCCTGCTAGGCAAGGCTAGACCTACTTTGGGTCAATGATGTGGTAGACAAGAAGATGAGAGAAACCTAACTTCCAACACCTCTGCACTGGACTTCTCTCCTCTGGCCCATCGGGGACAAGAGCCTCTGGTTCTCTCCGGAATGAAAACAAACTTGAGATGCCAAGGACAGTGCATGAGAGCCTCTTGTGGCTTTAAATGGGGTTAGGTCTCTTGGGCCAGATGACCTGCCTGTAGCCCTAAGGGAGAGTGGCCAATGGGACAGGCATGGAAAGACTGCAGAGGGATGGGGCTGTTATGATTTTTTGAGCAGAACAATAGTGGGTTTTTAGAGTCTGGGGATTCTGCCCCAGGGTATGATTCTAGAAGGGGCTGTAGAGAAGTGGAGAAGTGATCATGGAGTCCAGCAGAACATCGAAAGGGGACGGACTCAAGTATGGGGGGATGCACCAAACCGATGGCCCAGAAGTCCCTGCCTCCTGTCCACGAGCCCACAAAACCTCTTTGGGGAGCTCCTTTTTGTTTTAAATAAACTTCGAATTTTAGAATAGTGTTAGATTTACAGAAAATTTACAAAGACAGTACAGAGTTCCTATACACTTTGGGCCCAATTTCCTCTGTTGTTATCCGTTGCTTTTCTATATTTGTTCCTATTAATGAACCAATATTGATGCCTTATTATTAACTAAAATTCAAACTTTATTTGGATTTCTTTAGTTTTCCCCTAACGCCCTTCTTCTGTTCAAAGATCCACTCAAGACACCACATTACATTTAGTCATCACGTCTCCTAAGCGTCCTCCTGGCTGTGATGGTTTCTCAAGCTTTCCTTGTTTTTGATAACCTTGACCGTTTTGAGGATTACTGACCACATGTTTTGTAAAATGTCCCTCAGCTGGCTTTGTCTGATGGTGTTCTCATACTTATACTGGAGTTACGGGTTTCTGGGAGGAGGACCACAGACACAACATGATCTTCTCATCGTATCATAATAGGGTACATGTTCTCAAGGTGACTAATCACTGTTGATGTTGACCTGTGGTTACCATGGGCAGTGTCTGTCACACCAAGCAGATGAGAGTGCCCCTACCTCCTCTGGGGTTGAATTGGGGTTTCTATAACTGTACACAAACGCCACCTTGTCAGGACAACATCCCTGCTCCTCCTTCCTCCAGAAGAATTAGTCCATGGCTCCTATGGATCTCAAAGAACTGGGTGGTTCTGGTATTACAGCATTCACCACTCTGTGCACTGACCACTTCTTCCCCACGCGGTGGGCCTCCTGGGCAAGGACGCTGCGTGCTTCCTTGCTGCAGTCCCACAGACCAGCTGAGGGCTCAGCACGGAGTGGGCACCAAGAGTGGGCAGAATGAGGGGGAAGGGACAGAACTTGCTTTGCTGCAGCCCTGAAGGTCACCAGCCTCCAGGGCTGAGCCGGGCCCCACCAGTTAACAAGGATGGCACAAAGGAACAGGCCCAACTGTCAGCTTCAGACCCAGGGTCAGAGCCTGCCTGTGGGGCCTCAGAAGGGATCCTTCACCTAATCTCAGCCTCTTCATCTGCAGAAGGGAGGCTGCCGTCTTCCCTTATTTGCTTCAGGAAACTCTTAAGAGCACAGACAAAGGTTATATGTAGAAAGAGGTTCTTATAAACACAGCGTCTTACTAATGAGGAACATCTTTGCCACGGAGTGGACAAGGTGGCCACCGCGACCAGCGTTTCGTCTCACAGCTGCGACGCACGGCCCACTCACCAAGTCGGCGGAGACAGCGGTCGTGATCAGTGCGTACGGCCCGCTGACCAGGGCCCCGCTGAGCAGCAGCATCACTGTGGAAACCAGAAGGCGGAGTCAGCCAACATAAAGGTCCTCTCTGGGAGAATCTGCATGCCCTTAGAAAGCCTCTGGGTGGGCCCCGGGCACTGTGCTCTTGGAGCCGCACACCTGGCTACCACCGGGTGGATCTGCGTGCCTGACCCGCACGGAGCAGCAGTCAAGCTGTGGCAGAAGGTGGCTGGGCAAGTCCCCGGGGATGATAATTTCCTGGGTGTGCATGAAACCTGCGTGCATCGTTACTGTCTCCTGAGAAACCTGCCTATTGATAACGTTTGTAAGCCAATCACACTTCCCCGAAGATTTAGCTATCCGCTCCAGAGGGCACTCAGCTTACTGGTCCTCCAGGGGCAGAGGCTGCCGCCATGCTGGGAGGAAGAGAACCTGGCGGGTAGGAGCACAGACCTATGCCCAGTGGTCACTGTGTTGGTGGATCCTAGGCTGCCCAGGTTCAGGGTGGCTAATGTCAGCCACTGCTTCTTCTGCAGCAGAAAAGCCTTCCTCCCATCACCGACAGCTGCTGGTGGCGGCCCCCAAAGGAAAGTCAGAGCCCCAGCGTGGCCACGCACGCCACGGGCAGGACAAACACTCTTAGTTTTGGAACGCGTGGTCCCCTTCCCAAGCTGTTCTCTGGACTCACATTCTTTGTGCGGATGTTTCTGGGACAGAGAAACTTTGAGGAAATGCCGTGCCCTCCCGGCACTGGCAGCCTGCTTTCAGACTCCTTGTAAAATGACCGCACACACGTCCCTTCCCTTCCAGTCCCCACTGCTGGCTTCTTAGGAGAGAAAACATATTTACCAAGTGTCAGAAGCATCATCCGGCAGCACTGCTGCCAGGAAGTTAAAAATAGTCCCACATTGTTATGCCCAGAATGGAGGCAGGCCAGCCAGCCAGCTGAGAGGAGACAGACAGATGGGGAGACCACAGCCAGGCTCCCCTGGACTTTCCACATTCCAAGAGCCGGCCTGGGCCCAATGCTTACTGTCCAGGTCTGCCAGAGACCTAGCTAGCTCCCCCAGAAGCCACAGCCATGGCTACGGCGCGGCCAGCTGTGGAGGTCCGGCAAGGGGTGGGAGGATCCTCGGGGGGCCGAACGGCCTTCCATTTCCATCTGGCTTCTCTCTAAAAGCTCCCTTCCCAGAGGCACCCAGCAGGCATCCCCACTCCAGTCCAGGTCCTTGAGCCCCCCACGTGCAGCCTGAGGCTTGTGGACAGTCAGGCCTGAGGCCCGGGAGCAGGCGTCCCCATGGGCCTCTCCCAGCGGCCCCACCTGAAGAAGGACCGGGGACTATTTCCGACACACCCTGTGCGGAATGTTTCTCTGTTGTTTTTGTATTCCCCCTCACCGAACTCCGTGAAAGCAAAGAGAGGCAGCAAGTACTCACCTACGGTGGCTTCTAGGCCCATTTTACTGATGGCGGAGAAAACGTAGAGCTGTAAACAGTGGAAAAACAAGGGTTTACTAGAAGTAGCCCCAAGATGGTCCACAGCTATCTGTCTGCATTTTGGTGTGAGGTCCTGTTTGTCCTGCTTGCCACATCCCCCCCTTAGCCAGGGTTGGTACAAGGTAGATACCACTGTCATCCCCGTTTTTCAGATGAGGAAACTGAGGCACAGCGAGGTGAAGTTACCCGCTCAAACTCATGAGCTACTATATGCATCGAAAGTCGCATAAACCGAGCACTATGATCACAGGGACCAACGCTGCCCAGGGAGGGGGGCAGGCTTCGAGGATCCTAAAAGATAAGCAGGGGCTTGTGGGAGGGGGAGAGGCCCCCAGGAGCAGAGCAGAGCGGCTGGGGGAAGCCAGGTGAATCAGAGGCTACAAGAGCTGCTTATGCGACATGCTGGCGGGAGGACGCTGGGCTCTGCAGGCCCCATGGGGCACGCTGAAGAGTTTGGACAGGTGCCAGGCAGTGACGAGCACCAGAAACCCGGGCCGTGAGTGAGCCAAACCTGTGAGGAAAGTGAACACGGGCCAGGCGGGAAGAATGTTTGCCCATGGGAGATTAGTGGGCAGCTGCTTCCAGACACGCTAGGGGCCGGACAAAGGCAGCAGTGGGGGTCCAGGGAGGGTGCAGACATGAGAGATTTGGGGGGCCCCTAAAACAGACTGGAGCCCTGGTGGCGCATTGGTTAAGAGCTATGGCTGCTAACCAAAAGGTTGGCAGTTCGAATCCACCAGCCGCTCCTTGGAAACCCTATGGGGCATTTCTACTCTGTCCTATAGTGTTGCTATGAGTCGTAATCAACTCAGTGTCAATGGGTAAGACGGATTAGGAGACTTGGAAATGAGGGAAAAGAAGGTGGAAAAAACTCTGGGGGCTGTGAGGTCCCTGAGAGCTGCAGAATGTAGGAGAAGGACCAAATGTAATGGGGGGCTGGCAGCAGCCCAGCATTTGGTTACTGCTGAGAGGTAAAGGCCGTGTCTGCCCATGGACTAGACATGCTGGGTCCTGAGGAACAGGCCAGGGTCCAAACCAAAACAAAACGTAAACAGGGATTCCAGCAAAAGTAAGGTCGGGCAGAAGCCACCAAGGGAGTCAGGAATGCAGGAGCCTGGAGACCGGCAAGGTGCAGGGACTGGACAACAATGCGTTTGGGACAGAGGACCTTTCTGAATACCAGAAGGAGGGCTGGGTGGGCAGTTCACAGGACTGCCCCTGAAGGAGACTCCCCGGCCAGAGCAAGAGCTCAGTCCAGGGGCTCCACCATCCAAGGCTTTACACAGAGCGAGACGGCTGGCTCCCGGAGCCCCCACCAAAACCAGGTCTTCTTTATAGTCTTGAGGCCCAGTGAACGACCAGGAGGCGGGGCCTCGGGTGCTCTCCCAGCCCCGGAACTCCAGTGTGGACCAGCCCAGCACCGTACCCCTCCCAGGGCAGGCTCAGTGCTGGCTGGGGCGGTGAGGGTGTGGACGTGGCCCGGGCAGCTCAGGGTCTGAGCGGGCTTACCGTCGGGGCAGCGAGCAGCAGCATCAGCCCACAGGTGGAGGCCCTCTTTTCCAGGCGGTCAGAGATCAGACCTGCCAGGATCCCACCTGCAAAGGAGAGAACAGGTCCCGACCACGGAACACACATGACTGGGCGTGGAGGAAAGAGCTCCGTCTTCCAGCCCCTTCCCCTTCATCACCGCAAGAAGCCCTCCCTCAGTCCTGACCCCCTCCCAGGCCTCGCTTGGTTGCTGGGGTTGGGGTTTAGGCCCGCTTCTCCCCCACCCCTGTCCCACACCTCCCTGACACCTCCCTGTGGGGCAGGCTCCTGTCTCTGAGGGAGCGCTAGTTCAAGTTCAGAGGCAGGACCCAGGAGGAAGGAGAGGAGGCCTTCCCCCGAATGACAGCCACAGCACTGCTGAGCCAAGTCCACTCGGTGACATGAGAGCTCACTCGGGGACACACTCCCTTTCAGAGGTAAGTCACCCTCCCAGAGATCCTGGGCCACCGGCGCTGACAGTGTGATTGTGAAGTTACTTGTCGATGTAGAACAAATATAATGGACTCACCGAAGATCCCGCCCACATCAAACAAGGTGGACAGCACCCCTGCTTTCTGAGCATCAAGATGATCTAGAAAATAACGGGTCTAGTTAGCGAGGGTGCTCTCTTCCACTGTGTCACTGGGAGGAAGTCAGGGCAGGACAGATCCACACAGAAGTCTGGTTTCACGTGCATGATCTAAACCAGGTGATAATTATTAGTTAACTCATATATATATATAAAAAAAAAAAGCAGTCCGCTATGGGTAGAAACACAAAGGATGAAAACTAGACATTCTAACTAAAAAACGAGGATTTATTCTGCTGAGTCAAATTACCATCCCATCTTTGGGTTCTGTGGGCCCTCTGTGGTAGCCAGGAAGTCAGATGCAACACGGGAGAGAAGTGAGGCCTGTGAGAAAGTACCTAAGGACACAGCCCTCAAATGTCTCTTGTGCTACAAGAGTTGCCTGCAATACAAACCATCTGACCACCTGGGGCTGGAACCTTCTCATATTACAGATGAGGAAACCAAGGCCAAAGACCTGTCCCGGCACTGAGGTCTCACGATTCTCTCCACCTGACTTTGTACAAGCCCTGAACTTTGAAGGAGGTTACAGCTGACCAGTGCAGAAGGAATGAGACCTAGGGAGCATTTGGAATGGTTGATGGAGCCCTCTCTCTCCTAACGCACTGAAGGGCACGTACAGGAACTTGCTTTCTTCAAATAATCGCTCAGACTGGACGTGCCAACAATTCAAGACCCTCGTCCTGACAGTGTCAGCTCTTGTGCCATTACAGGGGAACACAGGAAGGAAGAAGGCACCTGCCTGATTACATGGTGACCGCCATGTCTGGACTGAGTGCAGCTCATGTGTGGTTTGCCTGCTGTAACGAGGTGTGGGGGGGAGGTGTCACGAAAGCCACAGGAAGCTTAAGCCTACAAGCCCTTCAGTCCGTCTGCCAGTTTTTACCAACTCAGCACCATCACCAACATGACCTCCTCACTGCATACGACTCCTCCCTCCTAGAGACCCCATCCCTGTTCATGAATGCCTTGGGGGATAGTCCCCTCACTGCCCCCTCAACTTCTATCCCTCAGGTTCATGTCAATTTCAGTTTGCCCTCATTCTACTATTTGGAATGCGTGTCTGTATGCTTCAAACCCTGCCACCGTCTCAACTTTCTCTCCTCTTTGTCCCATTAACCAGAGCCTGGATCTCCCCCATGACCCTCGTCTCTCCTGGTCTCTCTGACCGTCCCCAGCCCTTCCAGCCCACTGTTCCAACACCTACAAGCAGCGGTCTCTCCTCAGAGGGAATGGTGACTCCCTCCTCTTTCCCTCTTTGTTGTGGTCACACAGCACACGGAGTGCACATAGTATTTTCCTGGTATTTCTGTCATCATCTTTCTTCAGCCACTGCTGGACTTCAGAAATGTAAGACAAACTGCTAGCCGTCCCCAAAATTAGAACTTGTCTCCAAGAAGCAATTTCCAGGTCAAATCATTAAAGATTTATTAGCTCGGAGCTGTGGAGGCCCCACTCACTGGCCGCTGTGGCCCAAAGTCTGATACAGCTCAAATTTCAATGCAGGCTGACCCAGAATATGAAGCGCCTGATGGAACTGGATAGAGCATGTCAACCCTTTCAACCCCATGAGTGTTACTATTACAGCAATAAAACTCTCATATCCAAATTTTTTCTGGTCTATAAATTTCTACTAATCATGCTGTTCGTTTCAAAGTATGCCCCTCAAGTTACTATACATTGATTTTTTCTTTCCATGACTATAGGAGTTCAGGTCATAGACACTGCACAGAGCTTAACACTCATGCTTCTAACAGCAGATACTCACCCACATTCGTGATGTACAGTGGAAGCCAAAACAGGAAAGTGTAGCTGACCAACTTGGCAAAGAGCAGGCACAGAGAGAACTCTATCACACCCTGGAAGAGACAGAAGCCAGTGTGTACTTAGCAAATGTGCACTCAGCAGTTTATTAAAATATGCAACTTTCTCATACAGTATCTTTGTCTCCGTTCTGGTCTTTGCACCTCCAGCTCCGTGTAAGGAGAGAGGACACTGTAGGGCTGGACAACGCAGTCTAAGAATGTGAAATAATTGGCGATGGCTGACACTGACTCACCCACAGTTATGGTGCTACCCCTCACACCACACAGCTCTGAAAACATAGCTATTGAGGGGTTTCTCGTGGAGGGGGTTGTGGTGGAGAGCCATCTAGTTATCGAGTGGTTCACGGCGATTTCATTTTCCCTTGAAAATGAAATAACTGCAAATTAAACAGTGACCCTGAAACACAATAGAACAAATCACTGTGACCATTCAGTGAGGTCCACAGGCTGGCGCACCCTGTCTGAATAATACAGGCCACAGGATGCTGGGAAAACAACGGAAAGAGAAATTGATGCAGATGCTAATGAGGAAGTCAAGGTCTAAAGTTCGATGGGTACTCTGCAACCTTTGCTTGTGTTTCATAAATGGTATTTCCATTTTGTGTCTACCTTTAATAAGAAGCAGCACTTGTAAGATAATAATTCCAGACGTCACTTTGGAAATCTGAGTGGGAAATCCAGTTACACTAGGGTGCTGAACACTCCCCTTTCCCGTTCACCATGCTGGCTGTGCGTACAATCACCCACCAGAACCAGGCTAACAGCACATATACGCTCAGGGCCCCAAAGTTATTTTAAAATTAAACTTCATGTTTTCCAAATTGATATACCAGTGTGGCTGTGTAAGTTGTGTGTGAGTATGTGTGCATGTGTGTAGAGCGTGTATGCATGTGAATATGAGCCTGAGTGTGTGTGTATGAATGTGAGTGTGCATGTGAGTGTATGTTTGTTCGAGTGTGAGAGTGTGAGCGTGTATACATGTGCGTGCGTGTGTGTGTGTATAATTTATTGCATGCTGGCACATGTCTGGCATGGTGCTTAGTGCTGTAATGAAATTATTTTATTTAATCCTCAGAACAACATGAAAAGTGTCCAGCTGGACACTGAACCTGTATCACAGATGAGGAAATGGAGGCTCAGTGTGGTTAACAAACCTGTTGGGACATACAACTGGTTGGTGGCCAGGTGAGCATCACCCCAGGCCAGGCCTCCGGAGCCTGTACTCTGGACAATTCTACTGAGAAGCGTTTACTTGTATCTATTATTAGTGTATATTGTATACTCATCTGTACTGTAAGTATATACCATGGACTGCCAGAAGAATGAACAAATCTGTCTTGGAAGAAGTACAGCCAGAATGCTCCTTAGAAGTGAATATGGCGAGACTTCATCTCATGTACTTTGGACGTGTTATCAAGGAGGGACGAGTCCCTGGAGAAGGACATCGTGCTTGGTAAAGTAGGTCAGCGAAAGAGAGGAAGACCCTCAACGAGACGGATTGACACAGTGGCTGCAACGATCATGAGGATGGAGCAGAAATAGGCAGTGTTTCATTCTGTTGTACAGAGGGTCACTATGGGTTGGGACCGACTCCACAGTACCTAACAACAACAACACTATCAGTGTGTACCCTACTTTCAGCAAAATATTTGAGGCAGAAGAAATGCTTTTTATTTTCCAGGTCTTGAATTTCCTCAAGGACCCTGAGAGGGGATGGTATGTTAAGGTTCTGTTACTCTGGGTTGTACTATCTACATCTCCAGCCCCATAGTTGCTGAGGGGCCCCTGGGCCCATGTTCCCTTGGCCTTTTTCCCTGAGGGGGAGCGTTAATGAAGTGGTTTTGTCTGCGGGTGAGGGCCACATCTGCTCCCCTTGGTGTCTGAACATCAGCACCCAGGGCTGGAACCCAGGCTTCTCTGAGCGTGGTCTACAGGCCAGCAACAACAAGGCCTGGACGCCCCACCCACCCCATCAGCAGTCACCCCTCCACCTGCTTCTGTTCTTGGCCCTCCACCCTCTGGCGCCCTGTGTGGGTCATCGTGGTAGAAGACAACAGCTTAAAGGCCCTCTGCTGAGGGAGCCCGTGATGTAATGGAAGGAAAACCTAACACAGTAAGAAACTGCACTGTTGCACCGCTCCCTTCCACCTATTTTGAAACCAAGCTCTTGGGTTCTCTCTGTGGGCACTGCAACTGGCTCTCTCCGGTGGCCTCTGCACACGCCCCTTCACACCTCTGTTCCCCACCAGCACACACGGTCAATCCACACAGTGCATGTTACCAAAAGGCCTTTAAGAGACTGGAGCCCAGCTTACCTACGGCCAAAGAACTCAGTGCTGGTTCTGGCTCCAGGGCCTCACCCTCAAGGCCTTCAGAGGTGGGGCAGGTCAGGGAGGAGGGAGCTGCACTGGGGAGGGCTGAGGCCCCCCTAAGGGAGTGGGCTTACGGCCCTCAGCTCCGACCACTGCCACAGGGTTATAGGCCCAGTGACAGGAAGCCAGATTTGCCTGTAAAAGTTCTGAATTTCTAAATGGTGGCAACTAAATTTTAAAAATTTCTAGACATATTATGAGCCAAACAAAACATCGTTGCAGCCACTTTCACTCCAGAGAGGCGAGGTTTGCCACCCCTGGTTTTTGCCAGCTAAGTATCACGGGTTTCTTTTATACGACAGATAGTCAACAGAGGCCTCTTTTTTTTTTTTCATGGAAAACACAACAAAGGACACTTTAAAAACTGTTCCCAGGCGTGCTTAAAAAAAAAAAACAAAAACCCATTGCCGTCGAGTCGATTCTGACTCATAGCAACCCTACAGGACAGAGTACAACTGCCCCAAAAGGTTTCTAAGGAGTGCCTGGTGCATTCGAACTGCCGACCTTTTGGTCCGCAGCCAAACTCTTAACCACGGGCTGCCAGGGTTTCCCAGGCACGCTTACTCACTGGAATTCTCAGGGCCCCCGTGAAGCTGATGGCGGCCATGGCGTTTCCGCCTTCGGCAGGGAGGATGATGACGTGGTTAGGATGGACACCACTGCTCCCATCCGACAGCAGCAAGCACTGTGCCTCTGGGTCCTGCGGGGGGCCAGGAAAAGAACGAGGACAAGCTGGTCAAGATGGACGAGACGTGAAGCGAAGCCAGAGCTCATCAGAACTAACTCTGCTCAACAATCTGCTCTCCCCTGAAAGTCTTAGACAACATTGTCACGATCATCATTAGTGCTCACGTGTTTTCAGGAAATACTAACTAAAAATATGCAAAATCCTTTAACTGCTGGAACCTATTTGGTAGAAATAATTTTGAAAAGTGAAAAAATACACGATTTTTGAATGAGAAAATAATTTGCGCTGTCCACTTTCACCTAAAGCATCACCACTTGTGAAAAATTGTAAACTAAAGTACAGCCATAAAAATGACATAATTACAGTTGTAAAAACAATGTGACATTTTAATGATGTGGGAAAATGCTTATGTACATAAGTAATAAAACATCACTCAAAATGGTACTTTCATTCTGATCTCCAGGAATATTTAAACATCTGCCCATATAACTAGGTAACTATAGTATCTATTTCTCAAAATAAAGAAGCTAAATTCTAAACCCTCAATGGCTACCACCGAATGGCAGAATTACATTTAATTTTTACGGACGCGTCAATAAGAAATTCTTCACATGCTCCTGTATTTTTTTAAGGAGTTTACAAAGGACAGACATTAACAGAAACAACATTATGTTAAAATTAATAAACCAGTTCTGATATCTTGTGAATTCTAACGCTCTGGCCATTCCTAAGGGACTAAGTTTACATCTGTTAAAACAGAAAAGAGTGGTCCCCAACTCTGGCTGGGGTTTCAAGTCAGAACAAGGATGATGTAAACATGTTCTGAATGAGCTCTGAAGTTCAAGGACTTACAGAGAAATGTTTCTATGTATTTCAGACTTCCCACAAAATCAAACAGATTTTATTGGATTTATCTTACTACCGAAGTCCTAGGTGGCATAAACAGTTAACACACCTGGCTGCTAACTGACAGGTTGGAGGTTTGAATCCACCCAGATGTGCCTTGAAAGAAAGGCCTGGCAATCTACCTCTGAAAATTCAGCCATTGAAAACCCTGCAGAGCACAGTTCTCCTCTAACACACACGGGTCACCATAAGTCAGAGTCAACTCCCTGGCAACTTTCTTTTTCTTTAAATCTTACTACAACCTATACAAGGTGGAGTCAAAAAAAGAAAGGAAGGAAGGACAACGCATTGCCATATCCCCCTCTTGGTATTTAGACTAGAACACTCTTCCAGTAAAAAAAAGAAATCTGGAACACTGGGTGGCAGGCTACATACAGGTGACAGCAACTGCAGCCCCATATGCATGTGCTGAGCACCAGCGTGTGGCCCAGGAGTGACCTCTCCCGAGACGCCACCTTCCAGACCAGGGCTTCTGCACACTGACATTTAAACATACAGGCTGCTGTTTCAGAGTGAAAATGATAAACCCCCAATGCAAAAGCATAATACGTCCGGATGACAATTCCATAAAGCTGTATGAAAATAAAGAACTGTGATTTGAGTTTGGACACACACTTTCCCCTCATGAGCTATGCTGTCTAGGTTAGGAGACTGGATCAATAGCTCTCAACCATGACAAAGCATGAGCATCTCCTGAGGGCTCTGAGAAACCCCTACACCAAGGCTGCACCCCAGACCAATTACCCCGCATCTGGGGCAGGCCCCAGGCACCAGTATTTTTAGAAGCTCCCCAGGCGACTTCAAGGTGCAGCCAAGGTGGAGAAATGATGGGCTAATAGATTTTTTTTTTTTTAAAACATTAAGTAGGTTAACCAGTGGATGAAATGCACCAGATACAGAGGAAAAATAAAAAGATTTTGCTTAGCCGGGAGCAGGGCGCTCTCTGACTTGGAAAGTAGTAATTGCAACCAGCTATAGGTGGCATCCGACCCAGGACACCATACTATCCAGCCCTTCCTTGCGTGGCAGTTTGGATAAAGACCGTCTGCTCTTTATCCCAATGGCAGGGGGCGCTCTGGGTGTGGCTGTCTGTGTGGAGAAGAGGTCCACGCCCACCCACAGATCTGTCACCACAGTCGGGAGACATGCAGCCACCAAATTAGAGACTCTGCAGTATCTGGAGGAGAAGGGAAAACATGAGGTCACAGCGTGTTTGCCAGAACAAACAAGGGGTGCACTGCTGCCTCCTTACCCAGCAAACAACAAAGCACTGGGCTGACCAAGACACGAGAGCTGAGGTGCAGGCAGCACCTCTCTCTGCCCCTAAACCAGGGCTCTTCAATCTGGGTTCCCAGAGCCCCCTGCGGGGTCTGTGGCGCCCTGTGTGGGGTGGGGCGGGGGCTTCTCCAGTCATAGCAGCCTGCACTTTCACAGGGCTCCAATGCTATTAAAAGAACAAAGAAGAGGCAGGAGGCTGTAATAAGGACTGCTGTAATCTAACAATGAGAGGCGCTGGTGGGCCAGGGGTAGACTTCTCACCGTCTATGCAGGAGACCTGGGTTCGCTTCCCGGCCAATGCACCTCAGGCACAGCCACCACCCGTCTGTCAGTGGAGGCCTGTGTGTTGCTAGGTTGCTGAACAGGTTTCAGGGGAGCTTCCAGACCAAGTTGGACTAGGAAGAAAGGCCTGGCGATCTGCTTCTGAAAATCAGCCAATGAACACCCTCTGGATCACGATGGTCTGATTTGCAACCAATCACGGGGACGGCGCAGGACCAAGCAAGTCTCATTCTGTTGTGCACGGGGTCACCACGAGTCAGGGGCCAACACACGGCAGCTTACAACAACCATCTAGACATGCTAAGCCCCTCCCTGCACCCTAAGGATCTCTGCAGCTACACGGCTGGACAGGCCATCCCAGAGGGGACTGATGGGCTCCCACCCGGTATGTGAGCTGGGATCACCGTCAGCATCAAAATGCACACTCAGAGCTCGCTCAGCGTTTGTACAGCCAGTTTCTCAGCCACAGTCTATCGGAAACATCCTCGGAGAAGCCAAGGGGGGACCAGGAAGACAAACGATGACAAGGACTACAGATGATGCCCATCCCCTTCGACAGTCATCCAAAGGACAAAACAAAGCTGAGAACATCGACAGGGCTGGCCAGGTGGACACAGGATACTGCCTGCTCCCACCCCCCGTTCTTTCTTTGCTTCTCCCCTAAGTCTTTCCGAACCAGCCCTGGCAACTACAGGATGTAAGCAGCATTGTGGGAGGCGGTGGGGTCACGGGGCTGTGACGCCCCGCTCCCAGCCCCAGTGGATCAGAGCAGGGTCACACTGGGAGGGGGGACAGCCAGCGATTCCCACCACGCGTGCTGGGCACCCTGCTGCTGATCCGTGGGCCGGCTCCAGTGCGGGGCTTTTCCTACGGTGTAGCGAGGACACAGACGAGCTTACTGCTGGAGGCGTCTGCAGAGGAGCTGCTGACAGGGACACCCACGATGGGGCCAGGCCTGCCCAGGCAATGTCAGTCTCTATCAGCCTGGGGTGTGGCTGGTCCAGAAGCGCGACCTCTCAGGACCTCTACATACGTAGCTCCCCCTTTGTAACATGTTAGAAAGCAGACTTTCGCAGAAGGGACAGAAAAGGAAAGAAGGAACCTATATTCAGAAGACAGAACTAGTTTTACTGGTCAGCTGCTCCAGGAACAGGAGTCTATGGTCTTGGTTCAAAAGGACAAGGCAAGCCCTCAATCACAATCAGAGACCAAGTCCAGCCATTAGATACTAAGACCTGATTTTTTTAAATGTAAACTCAGAAGCGGGTAGAGATTTTAAAGTGTTGTAGGTGAGTTAATCATCACCTGTACTCTGCCTAAAATCAGAAGACCAAGACGTGCAAGACATTATTTTTCCCTCTCCAGTATTTCAACCACCACAAATCAATTTCCCTGGGCAACAAACAAGGAAAAAAAGTAAGAAACTTGAGCGCACTTATCCTGTAAGCTATTTGATTTCAAAAGAAAAGAAAATAGCTTATAATTTCAATGATTAAAACTAAACCTAAAAACGCCTCCGGCTGCCCCACAGTGTGTGAGAAGCGGGGAGGGGCAGGCAGGATATGGCGCAGGCCTGGCCAAGACGGCTGTGCTCCTATGGAGACCTTCCACTTCCCAGGGCAGCCAGGCAGGTAACTTAGCATCTCTGTGCCTCAGTTTCCTCAGCTGTAAAATGGGGGGAGTGGAAGAGGGACGGGGTGGAAGACAACTTCTTACCTTATCTCCTTGTCTGTTACCTTTTCTCAGTCACATGACATTACCTTCTTGTATGCACCTCAGACACCTGGCCCAACCTGTGCTCCCCTTCTGCCCCAAACCCTCTTGGCCCAGGTACCTACAGGCTCCTCCTCACTCCCTCCAAATCTCTACTCAATGCCCCCTCCTGAGGGAAGCCCACCCGGAATCACCACCACCACCCACTCACCTCACCCCTGCCTGAAACCGTCTTGCCCACCCCTCTCTTGGTAGATCTGTCTTCCTGGTGCCATGTGACATATCGTCTCTGCTTTCTGTCTGTCTGTCTGTCCCCCCAATGCCGCCAGAAAGTAAGCTCCACGAGAGCAGGGGTGGGGTGATGCTCACGGCTGGTCCCTCACCTGGAGCAGGGCTGGCATACTGAATGCCTGCAAACAGTAGCTGAATGAATGAATCGTTTAAAAATCAAATCTGATTTAAAAACTTAAATAAGCTGAGTCTACTATCCAAAAAAATCTAACAAGAGCAAACTCAAGTTTTAGTGAAGAAACACAATGAGGCCAATTTTCTAACCAGCCCGGATGTCTGTGGGGATGTCACTGAGGCAGAGGGACAGCCTCCGCGCTGGGAGTTTTCCTGGCGCTCGGATAGTCACTACAAGAACATCAAGTATAACTTACCAGAGGCTTGTTCTTTTCATTCAGGATTTGCTTCTGGGTTCTAAATCTGTTCGTACCAGTCTCATAGGCTTTGGAATGCTGGGAGAAAACAGTTTAATTAGATCAATTACCAAATCAACAGCCAGAAATTAAGCATAACTTGACTGCAATAACAATACTATCCTCACAGACGGCTACCGAGGGAAAAATAAATGATTAAAATAACAACAATGGGCTAATCACTTTAATCTCAAGGCTCCAGACCCTCGGATAACAGAATGGGAAAATAAAATTCTTCCTTGAGGAATACTCCAAGGCCAGGGTCTACAGAAATGTAAAATGACGATTAAGGCAATTTAACATTCCTTACAGTTCTTGGCGAGCCCTGGTGGCACAGTGGTTAAGAGCTCAGGCTGCTAACCAAAAGGTCAGCCGTTCAAATCTACCAGCTGCTCCTTGGAAACGCTAGGGGGCAGTTCGACTCTGTCCTATAGGGTCGCTATGAGTCGGAACCGACTTGATGGCAACAGGTTTTTTGTTTTTATAGTTCTTGGGTGGTGCAACAATTAATGCACTCGACCAACTGAAAGGCTGGTGGTTCGAATCCACCTAGAGGCACCTTGGAAGAAAGACCTGGTGATCTACTTCCAAAACATCAGCCACTGAAAACCCTGTGGAGCACAGTTCTAGTCTGACACACATGGGATCACCATGAGTCGGGGTCAACTCCACAGCAAATAACAACAGTGACATTCTTCACTGGCTTTGACTTTTAAAAAAAAATTTTTTTTTTTTTTGAAATGAAAAGACCTTTAGAAATAACAGAGGCCAAGGTTCTTCTCTAACAAGTGAACAGAGGCCTTTCCTGTGACACAGCTGATTCAGAAGGAAGAGCACACACTCGCTGCTGAATGAGAGCACAGCTCTCCTGGACAAAGTCCCTGCTCTGCAGAGGTGGATGAAATGTACCCAGAAAGTCCAAGGACAGGAAGGATGAAGGAGAGTCATCTCCCTGGGCCACCGCGCCCATAGCACCCCGGGGGGCAGCTCTGCAGCAACAGGAGCTCTGAGAGCTGCTTAGGTGTGGGGGACAGAAGAAAACAAACTATGCCTTCAGCCCCCAAGGCACAGAGACAAACAGCAGGACTCCCACCTTGCACCTAGGGGTGCTCTCCTGTTCTCCTAAAATCTGGGTGAGAGGGAGACACCCCCCAACACACACATCCACACAAAGTCCCCTGTACAAGTGGGGCCTGCTTCCCATCCGAGGCCTGGCCACAGCCCGGGACAGAAATGTTCCAGGGCCAAAGGCTATTCTGGGTGAGTGGCAAAGATCTCCCCAATTCTAGAGGCTGGCTGGGCCCTGCACCTCTAAGGCAGTTCATTGCAGGCACTAAAAACGTCACTGATCTGTGTCAGCCTGAAAGTTCAAGTTCATGCTTGTGGCAGGAAAATGCTTTCTGAACACTTTTAAACATCAACTCTATCTTTAAAAACCTTCATGTGGTATTTAACTTCCCCAAAGGCAGTGGTTTTCAAAATCGATTTTACTTCCTTATTATTTTTATTTTGTTTTGTTTAACAAGTACCAGAACCCTTCTTTTCAAATGAACTGTATTCAAAAGTCCAACGAATACAAAGATGGGCAAGAGGAGACCACTGTCTCCCCTCTTGTGCGCTCTGCCAGGCTCTGTTCTGGGGACTGGGGGTTCTGCAGTGACTGAGACAAGGTCCTGCTCTTGGGGCTCTTCCACTCTGACTGGGGAGACGTGATACACAGGGAATAGTCAAAGAAACAATATAACTTCAGAGAAGTGCTCCAGAAGGGGCCAGGGCCTGAACCGGGGTGGGGACTCTTTTAGCCCTTAAGAGGTGACATTTCAGCTGGTACCCACCATACCCGGTCTGGAGGAAAGCACTCCAGCAGCAGAAACAGCAGACGCAAAGGGCCTGAGGCAGAAACAGAGAGCAAGAGGCATGACTAGGGTGAGGTGAGCGCCGTGGACAGTGGAGAGATTACACTCACGAGGTGGGAGGGAGCCCATCACACAGGCCCTTGTGGGCCGTGCACGACGGCGGCTTTGTGCGGAGCAAACGGGGAGCCGCCAGAGGGTGGTCAGCGAAGCAGCGATGTGATCTGACTTATTTCAGAAAATCCTTCCAGGTGACATGGGAAGAACAGATTTCAAGGGAGCAGAAGCGGGTTTTTTAAGAGGCTAATGAGTACTGAGAGGAGATATGATGCCAACGTGGGCCAGGGTGGTGGAGGTGATGAGAAGCGTTTCCAATGCACGTGCACACGTGTACCACACATGCGCACACACACCCACACACATGCACACACATGCACACGTGTACCACACATACCACACACGTGCACACGTGTACCACACATGCGCACACGCACCCACACCCATGCACACATGCGATGCACCCACACACAGGCACATGCATACCACACACACACACATCCCACACATGCACAGACATCCCACACACACGCACACACATACCACACATATGCACCCACACGTATACACACACGCACACACAGCTCCACCCATGCATGCACATACCACACACATGCACATACGCACCCATGCACATGGGCACGTGCGTACCACACACACACACACACATGCATATCACACACATACACATATGCACCCACATGTATACACACACGCACACACAGCTCCACACATGCACGCACATACCACACATGCACATACACACCCACACACATACACGCGTACCACACACATGCACACCACACACACGCACACACCTGTATGTACACACACACGCACCCACACACTTGCACACACACATAAACCACACACATGCATACATGCACCCACACACACACACACACACACACACACACACACACTGAAAGCAGAACTGATAGAACCTACCAATCAGCTGGGCACAGGGCTGATGGAAGGAGAAGCTGGGATGGCTCCTCCATGACCAAGATAGGAAATGCCAGGGGACTCACAAGTTCACGGGGTGAAACCAGGAGGTCTACTCTGGTGACGCTAAGTCTGAGGTGATAACCAGATGGCTGGGAGTGGGAGTGTCAAGTGGGCAGCTGGCTCTATGACTGTGGAGCTCAGGGCAGAGGGTCACGTGAGGGACATAAATGTGGGGAATCAATGCGCATCGGCCTGGGGGAGGTCACCAATGGTGAAGTATGGACCCATGAGAGAAGGGGCTGAAGATCAGGCCTGGGTGTCCCCGTGTGTGGGGTCTGGCAAAGCACTCTGGGCAGGAATGGGCGGTGTGTTACAAGAAAACCAGGGCAGCGGGCGTCCCAGACGCCAAAGGAAGAGAGCAGGTCATGGAGGGAGAGGACACCTGTGTCCAACACTGCAGACAGGCCGAGCGGGATGAGGCTGGACCCGGATGATGCTGCTGCTGACCAAGGCCACGCCAATGGATGTGGGGGGCAGCAGCCTATCCGGAGCAGATGGAGAGAGAAAGGAGGTTGTACAGCGAAGATGGTGGGGAGAGACAGCACCTCTGGGATCTGCTCCAAGTGGGAGCAAAGGACAGGGGAGGGAGGTGCCTGGAGTAGGACATGATGGCAGGACAGGCTTTCTTCTGAGATGGGCGGTACCACCAGGGGCTCAGGGCAGAGCGGAGGCTGGCCCTGGGCATGGCAGGAGCAGTTCCCCACTGGCGCCCCAGGAAGGCTGCAGGCACGCGCGGATGCTGGGATGCAGGGGGAGTTAGCATGTGCATGCTCTCTCTGATTGCTTCTGTTTTTCTCAGCAATCAGAACACATGGTCACTGTCAGCTGAGTGCCAGGCAGAGGCTGCAGGAGACAGGTACAGCATGAAGTTAAGCTGACCAGGGCAATGGGGTCAGTGGGCCAGACGGTCTTGCTGGCCCACCTGAGATTTGGGGTCACTGGTTTAAAGTAACCAGTTTAAACTTGAAAGTCTACTCAACTCTGCGTTCTTCCCCAGTCACTGTTCCCTACCCCCAAGGGTAAGCCAGGGCATCCCCACCCCTCGTCAGGCTCCATCAGCCCGCCGGCCTCTGGTCCCCTCAACACTGAGGTTCTCAGCGTGGACCACACCGACCTTCCGTCTGGGTTGTGTTGCTATCGTTACCAGCCCTTTCCTAAGGTTGGCAGCGTTCTGAGGGTTGGAGTCATGTCCAGATCCACTGACACTGCACATACAGGACAAGGCGGTGACTGGGACAGTCATGAGAGCACATGGCACAGACACACTGTCCTAGCAGATGACAAGGAACAGAGAGCAGGTCTTTACCGTGGACAGCGTGGAAGAGCACCTGATGTCTTTCGGATCTGAAACACCAAAACACACAAGGACATCTGTGAATCCAACGTTTCACATCTCTACTAGTACAACAAGTTAAAACAAAAATAACAAGATACTGCTTTGTACTTTTATTAAAGTAGCAAAACTATAAGAAAGAAGATAATGCCTGATGTAGGCCCATCTAGAGATGGCGGTAGGGGTGCACCCTGCCTTTGGGAAGCAGTTCAGCCTCCACACCAAGGACCCACCCAGTGCCCACCCCGTCATCCAGCCACCCAGGGATGGCGGAACCTTTATGTATTGACATATTTGAAAAGTTCACCAACAGATAATGCTTCAGTAGGTTACAGCAAAAAATGCAAAAAAAACATGAGTATTAGGAAGACCCCTTTGCAATCAGGAAATATTTCACATCTACCCTACAGAATCATGGAAGAAAGGCCTGGTGGTTTGCTTCCATGAAGATTCTAGCCAAGAAAACCCTATGGAACAGTTCTACTTCGTAACACATTAGTTGCCATGAATCAGAACGAACTCAACAGCAATGGGTTACACCTGAACAAGGAGTTCCCAGGTGGTGCAAATGTCTAAGTGCGTGACTGCTAACTAAAGGGTTGACCGTTTGAACTCGGAGGCACCTTGGAAGAAAGGCCTGGTGATCTGCTTCGGAAAGGTCACAGCCTTGAAAACCCTATGGAGCACAGTTGTACTCTGTACACGTGGGGTCACCATGAGTCAGAATCAACTCCAAGGCAGCCGGTTGAGAAGTGGTTATACTTGAACAAGGATGTCGCTGTGGCAACGACAGAGGCCGAGAAACCAACCACAGGCAAGCACCGCATGAAGCAGCGCCCCACTCATTAACAATCCACCCCCCAGAGCCCTCCCAGTGACAGAAGCTAACTGCCCCTTCTGGTGGGTCCTCTCCAAGGCCACGTGTACTTACGTTCGATGAGAAAGAGGAAGCACACTATCCCCATGGCCGCCACAATGGCCCCAGGCACGACAAAGGACAAGCCCCAGCATGTGGACACCCAGTAGCCAGCAATCAAGGACCCCAAAATGTTGCCCACAGAGGTGTGGGAATTCCAGACGCCCATAATCAAACCTCGCCTGCAACATAGCAAAAAACAAGATGGCAATGACGTGGAGAAGCAGAGATGAGTCAACACATGGAGGCCACACGGTGCCTGCCCCATGAAACAGTCAGTATAGACACAAATAAGCAACGTGGGCACTGCTTCTGTAAGATGCAGGACCAGAGATGCTTACAAGACATCTGGTTTTTCTTTTGCTTTGGGATTCATAATCACACATTCCCATTTCTGTCTCAGAGCTCATTCTACAATTAAAAAGAAAAAAATGGTTGCAGTTGAGTTGATTCCGACTCATGGCAATATCCCATGTGGGTCAGAGCAGAACTCTGCTCCATAGGGTTTTCAATGGTTGATGTTTTGGAAGTAGATCGCCAGGCCTTTCTTTGGAGGTACCTCTGGGTGGACTCGAATCTCCAACCTTTTGGTTAGCAGTCGAGCATGTTAACCGTTTGTGCTACCCAAGGACTCCTTAATTAAAAAGAGAAGTTTTTTTCTTGAAATTCTTGGAAGACCCCAAATTTCAATCTGTGCCTCTACCATCTAAATGCAATCATCTGATGGAATTTCATATTAGCAAAAGTTCACGCTAAGAACACAGCAGCAGGTGAAATACGTAAATAAGGCTCCCTGGGTTTGTTTGCCCATCCTGTCTCTCATCCTCCCTGTTACTCAACCTTTGGCCTAGCTGTGCTGGGTTAACCTCCGTCCAATTTTTCACACATTTCTGACTTAACCTGCCCTGGCAGTCAAGTGACTGGACACCGAGTCCCAGCTCTGCAACTTATGGGCTGGACGACCCAGGTCAGGACGTCTCAAACTTGTGAGTTCCCTGGGAGTCTTATTAAAATGCAGATTCTGCTTTAAGAGGGCCCGGGCGGGGCTGAGACCCTCCATTTCTCAGGAGCCCCAGGTCAGGCTCTGCAGATCCTGGGGCTCTGTGAGTGACAGGGACCTCACCCTGCCCACAATATGGAGGGCTGGGCTCTGGTGACTCCCAAGACAAAGGACCAGCTGAATTTCAAGAGCCCCAGGTCTTGGAGATTCCAACCATTTTATTCCAAAGAGTAGAACAGTTACTTGAAAGTGTTTTTTCTGCGATTCGTCTAAAGGAAAACGAACAGTAAAGTGTTTTTGCGTAACTGTTGTCTTTTTAAAAATAAATGCTGGTGGGAACCGGGCCGCAGTGTCTCACCTTCCTTTGCCAAACCAATTACCGAGGCAGGTGACCACGCTGGGCCAGCCAGTGGTCTGCACCAGGCCGTTGATGATCTGCAAAAAGGGCAAGACAGGAGCTCACCACGGATGGAAGTCACACACAAGAGTTCAGAAGACAGTCACAAGCCACTCTTCACGGTTCGTCTCAAGTTTAGGGGCCTAGCCGGGACTCTCATCAAAGAAAGGCACAAAACTATGTGAGTCTTAAAAGCCGAAGATGTATTTTATACAATTTTTTTTTAACTAGAATACCTTCCCACTGTAGAAATTTTAGGATAAGTAAAGACAAGACGGCCCAGCCCACCTCCCACTGCTCCGAGTATAAACTAACCGTCGCAGCTGGATGCAAGCTCCCCATTCTCCTTCCAATCTAAAAACTTTTTATTAGAATTTCTTCTTTTTTTTTTTATAGACATGGGATTGTACTATAAATGTGGCTTGTACACTGTATTTTTCAATTACTGCATGTTGAAGAAGGTACTGCTTTTAATTATTCTCTCATATAAACATAACGTTGGCCAAGCACCTGAAGAAAGTATTTCTCTGCTTTTCAAGGGTATCCTTCGCTAAAGTTTCCAGAAGGAAGTTAGGAATGTATCAGTGAGTGGGTCTACTTCAGCATCATGAGAATCGGGGATAACTGTACGTGAAGTCCGGCATGTCCTACAGCCTCCGCTAGAACTACACCAGTTCTCTAGAACACACTCTGGGCAGTCTGAGCTAGCCCGGTCTCCCAGGCTGAGCCTTCACGCCTGCAGCATGCTGGGCCTCTGGGCAGCTGTTGTTCCGTCTCCTAGTTTTCTATATCACTGTCCAAGCATGAGTCACTCTTGCCATTAAAAAGCCAAACTTTTATTTTTTTAAGTAGTGTGATAACGTGTTTTCTTAATTAAAAGCAAAGTCAAATAAAATTTCCTTTGAGGATTTTGCAACACTCCTTAGGCTATTTGGAGAGACTCAGAAGTATCGCAAAACCAGAGTTGACCGTCTTCATTTTAGGTCATTTTCCATTTCCAGTCAATGGAGACTACGCACCGAGCTGGTGGGAGGGGCAGACCCAGGCATTTCAGGAAGGGCTGGGCCAGACTGAGGGGCAAGGCTGGCTGACCTGTCTTAGGCCTTCACTTCCTTGTGGCACCATTAGGCTTGCCCCTTTTCTCCCCACTGCCCGCCCCATATTCCACCCCACCACCAACGGCTCCAAAGGCATCCCTGCCTTCCACCTTCCACAGCCCCACACGTTTCCCACACTTATCACACAGTAGAATATCTCCAACCCATCAAACTCAAGAAAGAATGATGAATAAGGGTTACGTGTTCAATGCCCCTGTGGGGGGTAGAGACGACTAGGATTCTTGAAGAAGCAACCCTGAAGCTGAGGTACACCTCACAGCTGCTGAAATGTTAGTGTGGACTACAAAAGAGGGGCTTTACCCGCTAGCGTGGACCCTGACCTCTGACAGGACCCAGTTCTGTCCCCACCCCCATTCTCTCTCGGCAGAGGTGGGGTCACATGTGATAAACACCCTGTCCTATCCATCATGGAAACCCCACACGTGGTAAGCCATGGACCCAAACCTTTACCTGAGTGAGCACGTAGAATCCAAAGCTGTGAATGTCGTAGAAATATCCCAACCCAAACAAGGCGGTGAAGGCCCCGCTGGCAAGCATCCCAAAGGTCAAGTAGTACCTAATTGGCAGGCGTTCCCCTATTATGCCACTGAGGACAGAGAAGAAGGAAAGACAAATATGAGAAAGCACACCCACCCACAACGCCAATCACCAGATGCTTCTCTCAGGTGCTTTCAGGCTGTTCACAGACCTTTGAAAACGCAAAAGCCCGACAATGCCCAGGAAGACTGAGTCACAACTATTTCCCTATTGAGCATTTATTGACCAGAAACTGGCAGCTGGCTAAATCTTACGAACAGTTCCGCTTCTAGTAAAACTCATCAGCTGTCAAATAATAAAACTCAAACATTATGACTTACTAGGATGGCTTCCACTTAAAGACAATAAGAACTAGTACTGCTAGTTAATCCTGCTGTCATATAAACGCTATCCAGTGAGCGTATACAGTATTTCAAAATGTCAGCCGTCAAACTAACAAATGTCATGATCACTAAAGATCCTGAGCATGTCACGCAGCCCAGGTGGGAAGCAATGAAGTCACCTACTCTGAAACACCCGGGAGGACTGGCTCACTCCGGGCCACGCCCGCTTTCCTCTGCCTTAGGTACAGAAGATTTTCTTTAGGATAGGGTCTGAAACCCAGGAGTAGAATCTCGAAGGTTCTTCTGAACAACAATATAACTCAATAAAAAGCGAACCCCTTCGGAGTCTTGCCTCAGATTTATTTGGGGATTAAACGAGATGAGTGTACATTAAGTGCCTGGTACACGGTGAAGATTCCGTTGAATAGCTATGATGGTGGTGGGAAGGATGAAAAGTCTCCAGTTTCCTAACAGGGCACACATTTCACAGGCTTTTACCACTAACACATCACACCACCCAATGCCATATGAAATAGATTCTTCACTGCTTCATGGGAAATGTCACTATGTAGTAACTTGACATTGTTACTCAGCTGGATAAAAAAGCTGGAGAATAACCACAGATGACTGTGGGCCTTCAGGAAAAAATCTGTGGCTGTCTCATTTCCGTCCCTGTAATCATTCTAGGAATCAGATAAACACAAAGTATAATGCAGAACAGCGCCCACCTGCCCATCAACGGCACTCTAGGAATTCTCTCCAAAATTCTGGGCTTTCGTCTAAAGAATCAACACACCACAGAGCTTTTCCTTCTGAATCTACCAAATAAAAAAGATCTGCCTAGTACTGGCAGCCCCTGGGTTACGAATGAGTTCCATTCCTAAGTCTGTCTTTAAGTCGAATTTGTACGTAAGTTGGAACAGTTAAGTGAGGTTTTTATCCAACGTCAGTTAATCAAATGTTTGTCCTAGTATACAGCGTACCTTTCTATGCACAAAAACATTCAAGAAACACTTCCAGATACACTAAAACATCTTTAACATAATAATCCAGTAATAAGGTTTTAATGCGCGTCGCAAAGTAGCGCTCATTTGTTATTATGAACCATTTTTGATATAATAGGCTTTATGGGGGCGGGGGGTTGGTTCGTAAGTATGTTGCTGTTAGGTGCCGTCAAGTCAGTTCCGACTCCCAGCGACCCTGTAGGACAGAGTGGAACTGCCCCATAGGGTTTCCAAGGAGCAGCTGGTGGATTTGAGCTGCCAACCTTTTGGTCAGCAGCAAGCTCTTAACCACTGCACCACCAGGGCTCATTGTAACTATGACTTGTACATAAATTGGATGTTCGTAACCCAGGGACTGACTGTATCCCACAAATGACTTTTTTTAACACTAACACAGAAGAAAGTAATTTGAGATTATAAAGAACAACCAGGTCAAATTTTAAGGGATTAGCCAAATTTCCTTGGCTGCAGAGAAACTGGTCACACACAGATTCAGAAAATTCTAGAGCCAATTCAATCAGATGAGGAAGGCAAGGCTGGTGGACTTGCCCCAAGGTCAACAGAACAAGAGGCAGACTCCATGGATCTTCTGAGAGCTACTGTCCTGCTCTTGGGGACACAGGCCATGGGCTCAGGCTCAGAGATACTCTAGAGTCTCGCTATACAATATTGAGCCCAAATTCAATCTCTACTTAAAGCTGTTGAAAGAAAAGGTGTCATGGAATGGAATGGACACCATTACATATTACATCAGGCTCACGCAGGCATTAAACTCCATGCTCAGTGCATCTGCCTGGACCTGGCTGGCATGACCTGGGCTAATGGATGTGCCCACCTGACCTGATTCATCTGACATACGTATTAAATGAAACAATGCCCAGTGTTAGAGCTTCGGCAGTAACTGCACGCTGTTTTACTAGCCATGGAGCCATTCTGTCACTCTAAAGGCCCAGGCAAGGAAGCAGTGTCCTTGTTTTGGGCATGAGTCTATTTACTGATTTCACGTTAGATAGTATTTTGTTTGAATGACCCTCAAGGACAAGACGCACGAACAATTATCTTTGCCGACACAAAAGCAACAATAAAACCACTTTATTTACTTTAACCAGCATTTCTCAGCCTTGGCATATTGACATTTTGGGTGGGATCATTCTTTGTGAGGAAGAGCTGTCCTGTTCGTTGCAGGAGGCCTAGCAATATCTCTGACCTCTTCCCACTACCTGCCAGGGGCAACCACCCCCTGCTCCCGCCAATGCCTGCTCAAGACCCATGCTCCAATAATGCCCACAGCTCACACGGTGCCTCTCTCAGCCAAGCTCATGTCTCGTTGTGTCCGCTACTTTGGGCTTTGGGACCCTTTACTACCCATTGGCCCATTCAGACACGCTCTGCAGGATTGTGCAAATATACAAATCCAATGTTGGCCTGAAGGGGGAGCTCTCCATTCCACCAGCAGACACCGCCTGACTGGGCGCCAACCACTCGCGAGGGGCCCAGGTCTTGATGGCCCCACGCTCTGGGTGTGGTTCCCTGAGATTCTCTAAGCTATAAAGATCTCTCAGTTACTGAACAAAGTTTCTGGGGGCTAAAGGCCTCAGTACCTATAAATGCTTTATTTATTTTTTTTAACATGGCTCGACTAACTAACAACCCAATTTTAAATCCACCAACCCCAAGTCCCATTGTCTATACACCATTTACCACCTGCCTAGGTCACGGTCAAGAACGGGATCAAGAGCAGGGCCTGCGCTAACCATTACACCTAACAGCTGCTGAGGACGGACCACGTGTCAGGCACTGTATTAAGCATTTTATATGCATCAACTCATTTAATCCTCACTGCAACCCTGTGAGGTGAGAACTATTTATTTTCCCCATTTTGCAAAGGGGAAACTGAGGCACAAAGAGGCATAGTAACTTTCCCAAGGACACACCCTAACAAGTGGCAGAGCCGAGATTCAAACCCAAGCTGTGGGTCCCTGGAGTCCACACCCCTGACCGCCAGGCTGTATTCTTTATGCTGCACTCAGAGGAAGACTTCTATTTGGGGCCAAGTTCAGTGTGAGGTATCCAGAAGGCATCCAGGTGGAGACGCCCAATGCATACTGTGTAAACAGATCTGACCCAAACCCACACCAAACCAAACCTGCTGTCGTCGAGTCCATTCCAACCCATAGAGATCCTACAGGACAGAAGAGAACTGCCCCATAGGGTTTCCAAGGCTGTAATCTTTATGGGGATGCCCTGGTGGCGTAGTGATTAAGAGCTCAGCTGCTAACCAAAAGGTCAGCAGTTCGAATCCACCAGCTGCTCCTTGGAAACCCCACGGGGCAGTTCTACTCTGTCCTCTAGGGTCACTATGAGTTGGAATGGACTCAACGGCAATAGGTTTTTTTTTTTTTTTAATCTTTATGGGACCAGACTGCCATATGTTTCTCCCACAGAGCTGCTGGTGGGTAGAACCGCTGACCTTTCGGTTAGCAGCCGAGCACTTAACCATTGTGCCACCAGGGCTCCTTAACAGATGTGACATTACTGTGGAATTTGTCACTTGGGGCATGTAAGTAGATGGTGGCCACTCAGAGCACAGGAGAGGACAGGCTCTGTGGGGTACCATGAACAGCTGCCACCTGCTGTCCCTAATGACCACATGCCAAGTAAGACTCAGCATGGGACAGCAGGATTCACGGGCACAGCACATCACCAGGAAGGCCATCAGTCCACGCCTGCTCAGCAGAGCACTAGGGACGAGTGACCCTCTGCTTCGCAGTTCACCTCGACAGACACAGTGCCCGGCACACCTGGTTTCACTCTGTCGTCACTTCCAGGAAGACACTAGATAGGAAGCGAGTGTCAGCAGGGGCACAGTCCTGTGCACACTTGTGTTGTTGTCTTTGTGAGCTGTTGTCAAGTCGATTTCAACTCATGGTGACCCCATGTGTGCAGAGTAGAGCTGCTCCATAGGGTTTTTAAGGCTGTGACCTTTCGGAAGCCGATCACCAGGCCTGTCTTCCGAGGCACCTCTGGGTGGGTTTGAACTGCCAACCTTTCAGCTGGTAGTCAAGCACTTAACTGTTTGTACCACAAAAAAAAAAAACCCAAACCCACTGCCAGTGAGTTTATTCCGACTCATAGCAACCCTACAGGACAGAGTAGAATGGCCCCATAGGGTTTCCAAGGAGAGGCTGGTGGATTTGAACTGCCAGCTTTTTGGTTAGCAGCACCAGGGCTCCGTTTGCACCACAGTGCACCTAAACTTTCTGAATCGAACAGAATATGTAACTGGTCAAAGGCCTTGGAAAACTCCAGCCAACCTACCTCAGGTACATGCCCACCGCATAAGCGCACAGGAAGGAGTAATCCAGGGCCCCAAGCAGTTGTTGATAGTTTTCCTTATCTGCACGGATTTAGAAATCAGCAGGAAAAGTTTATCATTAGTTAGTTTTCACTAAACATCAGCTTGCGCTCTGGAGCAGGGGAATAAAATACAAAGCATCTGTTCTCGAAGCTTGGGTGAGATGCTCAGGAAGTGCAAAGGGGCGGTTGGAATACACAAGACAGGGCAGCGGGGCTTCTGTTTAGCTTCTTGGCTAAATGTTTTAGAAAATAGAGTCCCCACACTGTCAGATAATCACTGAACAGACATCATTCAGATTATATACAATCCCATTGATCACAGTGGGCATCTGCTGGATTCATTTTGTCTTAAACGTTAAACTGGATTTTCCTCAACACCCCACTCCGTGCCTCTGTGCGTTTTCTCTTCCTTCCAGCCACAGATTCATGCTCTACGAGCCTGAACTTCCAATTCTGACAAAGAGAAAATGCAGACTGTCCTCGGCAGACTCCCTCACTGCAGGGAGTCTCGTTTCACGTGGCAGTCCCTCCGCACACAAGGACCTCGTAATTGAATAATGCTGGTAGTACAGCCGCAGTAAGGGTAATTGTTTGATGGGAGAGAGCTGTCACTGGAAATGTGTTACACTTTAGCACGGCATAATTGCTGCTAAAATTAGCGAGGCCAGAAGAGCCGGGCAATGCTGCCATTGTCACCAGCTCAAGGACGAATGGCTTCAGGAACGGGACCAACACAGAGCGGGTGACAAGGAACTCACCAAACGGCACCCAGCCACAGTCGGTCCCATTATGGGGTGCTTGCTGAGGGGGCAGGTAACTGGTTTGTTTGCTCAGGCTGTTGAACTGGACTTCACCCTCGGTCACAGCAGCACAGTCCTTGTGGAGCTCACCCTGGGACAATCGTGGAAGGACAGAGGGAGGAGAGAAAGCACGTACCCAGTGAGCCTCAGTGTGGACACAGAGCGAGAACAGCCACCCCTCCCCTCTGACCAGCCTTCCTAGCGTCACTGCATTTTAGGAGGGGGCTTCTGGTGAAAGTCCCCAGGACCCACAAGAATGGCTGTTGGTGAGGTCAGAGTTCAGGCAGGACTCTGCAGCAAGGCCACCTGAGTATACACACAACAAAAATAGGCACTCATAATGGCCACCATAAGCCGAATGCTTACAGCAGCTTTGTTCAGAAGAGGCCCAAGCTGATCACCCACCTGTGGTCCTCGGATCACCTGCCTGTAACAGAAGAGCGGGGTGACTTGGCCAGATTCACACAACTGAACACCGCACAGCAATGAAACAGAACGCATTGCAGCTACGCACAACACGCAGGAGGAATCTCACAAACATATTAAGCAAAAGAAGCCCAACACAAAGGAGTACAAGCTGCATGATTCCATCTGTATGAAGTTCAAGAACAGGAAAACCCATCTATGGTGAAGGAGGTGCAAATCGTGGCTACCTGGAGGGCAGTGATGGGAACAGCGTACAAGGGAGTCTCCTGGGCTCTGCGTGTTAATAGGGGCCTATAAAGGGCCTATGCTCTTTTTTTTTTTTTTTTTTATTGTTGTAGTTTAAGTGAAAGTTTACATTTCAAGTTAGTCACTCCTCCTTTCCACCCCTGATTTCCCATGTCCATTCAACCAGCTCCTGACTCTCTCTGCCCTCTCATCTCACCTGTGGACAGGAGCTGCCCATTTAGTCTCATGTATATACTTGAGCTAAGAAACATACTCTTCATGAGTATCATTTTGTATCCCATAGTCCAATCTAATCTTTGTCTGAAGAGTTGGTCTCGGGAATTGTTTTAGTTCTGGGTTGAAAGAGAGTCTGGAGGCCATGCTTTCTGGGGATCCTCCAGTCTCAGTCAGACCATTAAGTCTGGTGTTTTTACTAAGGGGTCTACATCTTAAAGGGTTCTGTGTCTTAACCGAGGTGATGATTCCCTGGGTACGTAATTATTTGTCAGGGTAGATACTTAAGATTTGTGTACTTTACTATATGCAAATCATACCTCAATAAAACAGATATTTGGGGGAAGAGGTCACCAGCCCATTATCCATGGAGCCAGCAACCAGGGCAGCGGGTGGGAAAAGGGACTTGTCTGAGAGGCAGCAGTTGGAAGGGAAAAGTGCAAGGCCTTGGGAGCTAAAGACCTGTTATCAAACCCCAGCCTGATGGCTGAACCAGTTGTGTGAGCTTGAGAAAGTCACTCACCACTGCAGACTTGGTCCCTTCATCTGCAGACAGGGCTGTTCATACCCACCTATAGCTGGTTCCTGGGAACAGGGGTGCTGAATACCACCTTGTCAGCACAGTGCATGGCACGGGCAGCACTTGAGAAATGGTGGCTATTACAGCTGGGTATACAGACAGGCCTGTGCGACAGGACACGGCCAAGGGGATGTAAGCAGAGCTCTTGCCCAGTGCGCTCCTCAGGGGGAGGGACAGATACTTCCAGAAAAGCCTCAGAAAGTTCCTCACCACCGCAGCCTCGGTCCGCTCATCTGGGCAGGGTTGCTCATACCCACTTATATCCACATGATGGCTGGGGCCCACATCACCCCAGCCTTGGGCCCGTCATCTGGGTAGGGTTGCTCATACCCACTTAAACCCACACGATGGCTGGGGCCCACACCACCCCAGCCTCGGGCCCCTCATCTGGGCAGGGTTGCTCATACCCACTTACATCCACATGATGGTTGGGGCCCATACTGCTGCAGAGGAAATGGCTGACTGAACGAACAGGTGACCTGCTTTATAACATACAAGGAAGCAAGAGACCAGACTCCGCCTTCTGCTGGGAAGTCTCCTCCAGCCTCTCCCAGGCAGCCTCTATCGCTCCCACTTGCTCCTGCTGGGCGTTTCCTTCAATAAAGGCTTTGTACCACATGGGAAAACCCTAGTGGTGTAGTCGTTAAGAGCTATGGCTGCTAACCAAAATGTTGGCAGTTCAAATCCACCAGGCGCTCCTTGAAAACTCTATGGTACAGTTCTACTCTGTCCTATAGGGTTGCTACAAGTCAGAATCCACTTGACGGCAACGGGTTTGGTTTTTTTTTTTTTTAATACCACATGTGGCTCAGATGAATCCATCCCATCAAGTGGGAGTGAGGGCGGGAAAGAGGGGTCCTCTGTGGTCAGGGAAAAGCCCTATAAGGCGACCGGGCACCCTTTTAGCGACCACAACATTGAGACCAGAGGGGTATCTTTTAGTGAGGGAGGCCAAGGGCTCTGAGGAAAGCTGGCCCAGAGGAGGAGGGGAGCAGGCATCTCTCCAGGGTCAGGGGCCAGGGTAGTGGTCAAGCAGGCCCACACCAGGCCCACCAGTGGCAAAGTCCTGCCCACCGCCCTTGCTGCCCTGGCCATCCCGCCTTGTCACAGGGGAGCAGTTAAAAGAGACTGGTCACCTCTGAAAGGCTGTGCCTCCCAGAGCCACGGGCAAGCCCACTGGACACCACCATGTGCTGTCACAGCCGGCAGCACACAGACACATGTCACCGGGTCCTGGCACAGCAGGCAGGAGCCAGTCACTCTGGTCACGCTGCTGTGTCCCATCACTGGGCGATTCTGCTGTAATCTCTACACCACCCTAAAAGGCTAGCCAAGGCTCAGCTTTACAGATTCAAAATAATGATCTGCCACACAGCTTCCCTCCACAGAGCTCTTCCTCCCCGGCGGCCCGAGGCGTTCTATCTTGGTAGATGGGCTGATAATTTTCTGCCCAAGTGCTCGAGCTCCTTCTCTGCTCTCACCTCCGCACTCCTCTGCCCCGCCTGCGCCCCTTCTCCGCCCTGCCTGCGCCCCTTCTCCGCCCTGCCTGTGCCCCTTCTCTGCCCCGCCTGTGCCCCTTCTCTGCCCACCCCACCCCGTGTCCTTTCTAAGCCCCGCCTGCACCCTGCATGCACTCAGCTCAAGTGAGGACCGGGGAGCATCACTGTAAGATGAGGTGGAGCCCGGGGGCGAGGCAGCGCCCTTCCTCTCTGCCCAAGGCAAGCCTGCTCCGCATGCCCCTTCCCTCTGATTTGATGCTTTCCTCCTGCTCTTCTCCCTCTGCTCACCCTTCCCTGCTGTCTCTCCTGGAAGCCAATCTGGCCCTGCCACGAGGTCTCACTGCTGCCGCTGTGGTCACGAGTCCCTGACAGGGGCAGGATGGAGGACGGGGTAGGCCCTTCCAGGCTCTGAGCTTGCGGGGCTAAATGTGAGCAGAGGCTGTTAAAACAGCCTTACAGGGGAGCAAGGGGGAAGGAATTGTGCAGACCACAGCAAAAACCAAATTTTCACATCATCTTTCCCACTGTTAATGTGCCAGGGGAGGAACCTTCCACTGAAAACATAATCCACTAGGAATAATGCCCCTGTTTCATAAACAAGCAGAAGGGCTTTCTGGGTTTGGTTTTTGGCAGAAGAGGCAGTCTAGCATAATGGTTAGGGACACGCGCTTCAGCACTGACAGACGTGGGCTGGAATCCTGGTGCCTCGTGGGCTGGAGACGGTGCAGTCACTTACACTCTCTCTGCACAGGGTTGTTGCAAAGATGAAGAGTATGTGCAGAGCGCCTCTCTGGGTCCCCAGCCCCGGGCAAGCAGCGCTCAGGCACTGGCCGCTGTGAGCATACAATGCTCGGTGGTTCCCATAGAGACTGCGCCCCTGGAGGGCCTCCGCTGAGCCTCAGCTCTCACTCCTCTCTCTCTCAACCTCCCTCTCCCTGCCTTTCTCTTTTATATAGGAAAATGTAACTGCCCCCGTTGAAGGGCTGCAGCAGAAGCGATAAGAGATATAATGTTACTCTAGCAGAAAGCGTGTGGAGGTTATTTCAATACACACACATGTTATGTTTTCAAAAATATTACTGTACTTCAATATTTCCATGAGTTTCATCCCCAAACCCTGGTGTTTAGGGGACAATTAAGGCTTCAGTAAACTAAGATGAACTTATCAGAATAAAGCTTGCAAGGTAAACTAATTCTTATCGTGGTTGTCCTTGAGTGAAATATCTGTGTCTCCCCACAGCCACTGCATCCTTGGAAAAACATTTGTGGGAAGGAGATCAAATCCCTTGGGAAACACTGGCTTTCAAAAAAGCAATTTTCTTGGCAAACTTTTTTATATGAGTGACTTTCAACAAGTTACATATAAAATTAATCAACAGCTACATCAGGCAGTTATTAAAAATCGATCAGTCACAAGACTTCTTGGCCGGGGGTGGATACGGAACAGAATTTCAAATTCTCACGGAATCCAGACTTTCTGGAGCCATTGCGGATGGAGGAACCCCTGAAACTATTGCCCTGATACAATACTTAAACCTTAAACCAAAAATATCCCCTTAAGTCTTCTTAAAACCAAACAGTAGTTTAGCTTAACCAGTAAAGAATGTTTGCCTCGAGCACTGTGCTTGTTTAATATCTATCTATATGGGATCAAACTGACAACTTGGAAAGATTAGATAAACACCCAGGGAGCTGTCAGTTTATGTTAACGGGGCAGGAACAACTCAGAAAAGGAGGATGAGAATGGTTGCACAACTCAAAGAATGTAATCACTATCACTGAACTATACATGTAGGAATTGTTGAATTTAGAGGATTAGGTGGGGGTGGGAGAAGAAAGGTGTCAACATAATGGCAGGACACACAAAATAACTCTGAAGTCACAAGTAATCTGTATGCACGGCAGTGGGGGATAGTGGGATACTGTTCTACCTATGGAGTCGCCGGGTGATGCCAACGGTTAACACTTGCTGCTAACTGAAAGGCTGGAGGTTGGAGTCCAGCCAGAGGTGCTTTAGAAGAAAGGCCTGGTGATCTACTTCTGAAAAATGACTGAAAACCCTATGGAGCACAGTTCTACTGTGACACACACGGGGTCACCATGAGTCGGAGTCGACTCCACGGCAGCTGGCTTATCCTACCTACAGACACCCTCTCCACCCCCAACACACGCCACACCACTGGGAAGCAAAAGGAAACCATTTCCACGGATTAGAAGGCAGACACAATAGGCTTTTTTCCTCAAAAAACACACTAGAAAAGAGTCAGCCTCCTTACCTTCTACACTTGGGCAGGCCTATGCGGTCAATTAAGCACAAATATCAACTATATTAACATACATTTCATAAGACTAGTCTTCAAACTCTGTCTGAGCAACTAACTTCACATTGAGAAAGTCTGCTCATTCATTCATTCCAAAAACATCTGTTGAGCATCTCCTAGGTTCTCAGCACTCACTGGGCCCTCGGGCTACAACCAGAGCTATGCAGCCGTACCCTCTCTAACAGGAAGTCACCAGGCCGAGGCAGGAGGGATGCGGAAGATGCTGTAAGGTGACCACGAGAAGACAAGGTAGTCAGGGCGGGGATTTGGGCCTCTCTAAGCCTCCTCCTCTTTCTCCTCCTCTCCTGCCCCCGCAGGGAGTGGGGTGCTGTCGGCTTCACTTCACCTTCAGACGACGCATAAGTGAGAGTTTGGGGTGTGTGTGCGTGTGCGTGTGTGTGTGTGTGTGTGTGTGTGTGTGCACGTGTATATATATCTATATTTAATAAATGTATTTAGTAAACTCAATATGGTTCCTGGAAACCCAAGTAGTGTAGTGGTTAAGCGTTATGGCTGCTAAGCAAAAGGTCAGCTGTTCGAATCCACTAGGCACTCCTTGGAAACTCTATGGGGCAATTCTAGGGTCGCTATGAGTCGGAATCAACTCGACGGCGAAGGGTTTGGTTTTTTTTTGTTTTTGATATGGTTCCTTGGGTGGTATGGCTTCATTTATGCCAACTAATCCTTTATACTCCTTTATAAGGTTCTCGGTTAAAAGGACTCTCCAAAGCATCATCCTGAAGAGATCCTAGAAAGGAAATTAAGGTTTTGGTGTCCAAAGTAAGAAGACCAGGCACCCATTTTACAGCAACACCTGAACATGGCCAGATTCTGTCCAAGTGAGTTACAGGAGACGTAAGAGAGGTACCCCCCACCACACACAGGCATATACAAACACTTACTCCACTCACAAACGCACACAGAAATAGAATATATAAGGAAACTGCTTGTTCACTGTTTATTCTCCAAAAATGGAGCCACACTATATATACTTCTGTATATCTCAACTCCTCTCACGCAGACACTTCCTAGAAGGCTTTCTGAGTCAACTCGTTTAGCTCTAACTCTCTTTTTGGTAGTTGCATATCTCATAAGATGGATTTACCATCACTTAGTCAAACCTGCCCTTCCTGATGAGGCTCACTTGATATCCAGGTGTTTCGTTTTGTTTTTTTTCTTTTTGGTCACTACAAACAAGGCTGCGATAAAGATGTTTATGCAGATATCCCGAACTATGGGTAAATCTATCTGTCTGGATGAAATTCCCAGAAGTAGGACTGAGGGACATAGGTAATCTCTAATGTCAATGGATGTTACCAGGCTTGTTTCCAAAGGGTGAGACACTTTCCATTTCTATCAGTAATACTTGAAAGCATGCCCCAATCACTTCCAGCAACAGGGGCCATCATTTGATTAAATGTTTTGCCAGGTGATGAGTATAAAGTGATACATCGTCACCTGAATTTGCGTTTGTGAATGCTAATACGCTTCAACATAGTTGATGTGTTTCTTGGACATGTGAATTCTGGGTCTGTGAATTGCCTCTCATAGGCTTTGTCCACTGCCCCTTTGGGTTTCCCAACTTCACACTCCTAAGACGATCACCATTTTATTCTAGGCTTTTGAGTGTTTTACATTTAAATCTTGACTCCATCTGCCATCTATTTTTTAGGACGGGAGGGGGTTCTTGGGAGGCGCTTGGGCCGCAGGGGTCCCTGGACCCCAGAGGAAAACGGTGACATGGACTGGTGTGAGTGAGGCCAGGTCTCTCCAGCCACACACGGACTGTAAAAAGAAAACTATAAACTCCTCAGTGGCAGTAGGAAAACTGTTTGAAACATTGGAAGTTCGTGTGGTTTGGGGTGGGAAAACTTGCTCTCTGGAAAGTTTCAACGCTGTCTGTATTAATATTTAAATATACAACTCCAATTAAAATCTCAGCAGTGTTTTTTTTTTTTTTTCTCAGTTGAATAAGATAAATCCTAAGGTTTATATGAGATAGTCTCTAAGAAGCATGAAAAAGATAACATATTTTAAGACACTGTAATAAAAATCATTGGAGTCCCTGGGTGGTGCAAATGGTTAATGCTTTTGGCTGCTAACCAAAAGGTTGGAGGTTCAAGTTCACCCAGAGGCTCCTCAAAAGAAAGAGTCTGGTGATCCACTTCCAAAAAATCAGCCACTGAAAACCCTGTGGAGCACAGTTCTACTCTGACACACATGGGGTCGCCAGGAGTTGGAGTCAAGTCCATGGTGACTGGTTTTAATCAAATTATTATGGTATTGACATGGGAACAGGTCAGTAGAACAGAATAAAAAATCTAGAATATTTGACAGAGATGATGGGAAAAACATAGCCCATTTAATAAATGTTATTGGCACCACTGGTTATCCACCTAGAAGTAACAAAGTTGAATCTCTCTTTGACATTGTAAAAAATAGACTTTAGAGTCACTTGTCCAGTAAATGACAAGTTTATTAAGGTATCGCCTCTTTCCCCAAGCTTATCTCTCTTTTGAAAACAACATTCTGTACCTTTGTGCCATAGTCACCTAAAACCTGGAGGGCATGGACAATTCCTGCTCCCTAGGGGTCAAGGAGGAATTTTAGGATATTTTGAGTAAATGAGGGATGCTTCACACCCACTGGAAGGTACTGGAAACAGGGAACACATCAGTGTCCACAGAAGTAACACATCTGTCTTGCCTCTCCCACTGGTCTGAGGACAGAGAGAGCAGCTGCTAGAGGCTGAGAGGCCTGGTGGGCATGGAGGAAGCAAGGACATGAAGGTCAACACGATTATGGGCCTGGATCTGACTCCTTTCCAACTGCTGGAAAGTGAGGGAAGGGGCCACGTAACTGCGAATGAGCTGTTTTTGGCACTGGACAATTTCCTTGTTCCGTCTACAATAAAGAGCCAAAAGTCATTCAAGTCTGTAGACCAGTTGCCACATGATGGAATTTTAACGAAGATAAGAAAATTACCCTGCTTTTTTTTTTTCCAAGTCATAACTGGTTATTATGTAGAATTATCTGCTTTAATCTTCTTTTCTTAAAGTCTAGTTAAATACCTAGTTAACAATCTCCTCTCCCGCTCACCCATCATTCAAAAATAAAGCCAGTGTTCTAAGGATAATGGAGACTCACCACCACAGGCCAATTTCGAGTCAAAATGTAATAACATTTGAAGCAATTTAGGAAACAACAGAACTTTGAATATGTTTCAGGGGGAAATTTACACAAGAGAAAATAAATATTTAATTAAGCTTTAGAATTCTGAAACTGTCGACTACTAAAAGTACTCCCAGTTCCAGCTGCCATTGAGTCAACTCTGACTCATGGCGACCCCATACATGTCAGAGTAGAACTGTGCTCCACAGGGTTTTCAATGGCTGCTTTTTCAGAAGTAGATCACCAGGACTTTCTTCCGAGGTGCCTCTAGGTGGACTAGAACCTCCAACCTTTTGGTCAGCAGCCAAGCACTTCACTGTTTGCAGCACCCAGACACTCCTCTATGACAGTATAAAACCATGTGTTGCCATTGAGTCAATTCCAACTCACAGTGACCCTAAAGGACAGAGGAGAATTCTCCAGTAGGGTTTCCAAGGAGCGGCGGCTGGTGGATTCGAACTGTGACCTTTTGGTTAGCAGCCATAGCTCTTAACCACTGTGCCACCTGGGCTCCAATAGTACCTCCAAAATTATAAATCCTAAAATTTAAAGTTAAATGAACAATTTTTAATTTCATGAAAGGGAAACTGAAAATCCAAGCAGCAAAATAATTTGCTGCTTTTCTTGTACACAAATCTGTCTTCTCCAGTTCTCTGACCATCCACCTCCTCCCCCTGAATGGCCCCGGTAAACCAACTAGTTCCTTATACAGATTACAGGTAGGATGTGAAACTTTTTCTTTTTTTTTTTTTAATGATCGCTTACCTTAACTATGCTGATAGGCTTTCGAGATAAGTGAAAACTTGCGTACAGCAAAAATGTCAAAAAAAAAGTAAAGGCTCTGTACCTGAAACACAAAACAGGGATAGAGGATGATATAAGGTACATTAAGAATGCATTTCAACGGTATCCTTAAATCTTGTTAGGCTATTTATAATTCATTCAGTCAATATCAATCCTATTTATATCACATTAAAAAATTTACCACTTTTGCTTTGTCCAAAGCAAACAACTCATTAAAAGTAAACAATTCCTTTGAAAAAAGAAAAAGCTATAATCAAAGAGAAATTTGGGACTCACAGCATAAACACACGCATTTACAAAGCAGACAAAACGGAACGATTATTCAGTTTACAACAAAATTAACCCCAAGTTTCTTGGGCAGCCTGCTATCCTGGGCGTTTCAGATCATATTTATTTTTAACTTTTTACTTCTATGCAGCTTTTCAGAAGCACACAAGCAAGCAAGGGAGAAATATAAATATTTGACTGACCTCAGTGAGAAAAACTCGGTGAAGCTTACAAGCTATGGATAAGGTCAATGACATAAAAAACTCTGGTACCAAGCCCTCTTGCTCTGCCAGTTTATGAGAGAAGCAGTTCAAGAGTTTTAAGTATTGAAATATGAAAAACTACAGAAAAGACTTTAGGAAGAAGATAATGTTACATCAGGCAGGGGAAAAGGTATTTGGCAAGAGAGATGGAGAAAGCACGCCGCCAAGGAGGCCAGCCCTTCTCTGTCCTGGGGCAGCGCCGGGAGCTCTGAAGAACAACCAGCTTGTCTGGTTCCTCAAACTGTGTGATGCTTGACTCAACAGTTACCTGAGGTGGGAAGCACTATGCACAGAAGAAAGGCACCGCATCCCCTGAGGGAGGACCCCCTTCTGGGCATGGCCTGGTGCATTCTAACTCCCTTTGGCGAGTGAGTGACGCTGGGGTCACTTCCTCCAGTCTCAGGTCTAAATCTTTAAGGCCTTAATTTACTGCTCGGTGGAAGCTTTATGTGAATAACACACAGAACCACGAAAGGTGCCTGCTTCTCTGGCCACAGGAAAAGGCAGGGGTCAGATAAACTTCTCAAGAATATTTTTTTTCTTTTGTTTTTAGTAGACTGTACTCAGGTGGGAAAAAAAGGACTAGTGGAACCCTGAGCCCCAAACCTACAACCTGGGAACACCTGTGGCTTAGGGAAAGGAACAAAAAGCAATCTGCTAGGTACTCAATAAATCCTTCTAAACGAATAAAGAAATATCCTAATACTCTCTGCTTCATCAAAGAAACATACTGATGGCCTTTGCTAGGATTCTTTGCTCTCCAAACCCATGCCAGTAACCGGGTGGGAAAAATGGAGTGTGTAATCTGTCCAAAAGCCCAAAGAACAAAGCCTGTGCAGATACAGTGAGTCTGTTACAATAGCCCGGGCTCTGTCCTTGTTTCCGCAAAACCTTCCATTTGGGGAGGGAGCGGAAGCCTCTTGATCCTTTGGTTTAGCTTTGTTATATTACCCACTACTCCTACACGCAGAGTCCCTGCGGGGTGCAAATGGTTCACGCGCTCATCTGCTAACTGAAAGGTTGGAGGTTCGAGTCCACCGAGAGGTGCCTCAGAAGAAACGCCTGGTGATCTACTCCGGGAAAAGTCAGCCATTGAAAACCCTACGGAATTACTGACGATTTTGAGCAAAGACTCTATAGAGAAATCCTGGTCCCACTGAGGCTGGATGAGCCCTCAAAAGTATTTCCCTGAGATCATCTTTAAACCTTAAACCAGAGATCCCCTGAAGTCTTCTTAAAGCCAAACAATAGTTTAGCTTAATTAGTAAAGATTGTCTAATTAGTAAAGAATTAATGTCATAATTGGTAAAAAATTGTGCTCTTTTAAGAATTACCTACACGGGATCAAACTGACAACAGCATCTCAAAAGATGAGATAGGAAATTTAGGGGGCAGTGAGTTTACTTCCTATAGGGTCGCTATGAGTCAGAATCAACTCCACGGCAATGGGTTTGGTTTTTGAGTTTATGCTAGTGGTGGGGGGACAACCCGGAAAAGGAGCTTGAGAATGGCTGCACAACATCACTGAATTGTACTCATAGAAATTGTTGAATTGCTGTATGTTCTCTGCTATGTATATTCTCAACAACAACAAAAATAAATTAAAAAGCAAACCCTACGGAGCACAGTTCTACTCTAACACACATGGGTCGCCACGAGTCAGAATCGACTCCAGGGCAACTGGCTGCTCCTCCGTGACTCAGGTTACCAGCGTAGAAGGATCTCAGGCCATGGGAGCTTCACAAGCCCTCAATCGCAGCCCACAGCTGGACTCACTGGTCACTTAAGTCCCCAGCTGCTATCAGTTACTAGCAAATGTAGCCCACTGATGACCCTGATCTGTCCCGTCTGCGTATGCGGTTCCCCACTGCACGTTTCTACCAGAAGAACAAAGTTATCAGATGAGTCACCTCAGGCACCCCCCCAAAGCAGTGTCTGACAGAAGAATTTGGAGCATATCTCACGAGCCCTTGGGGACGCTGGAGGCCACCAGTTTTACAGCTGTTTAGCAACCACAAGGATCTGAGTTTCATAAACACTCAGCTAAGAAGGTGTCTGAGAGAGGGGCTCTGCTTACGTAGATACTTAGGTCCTGCTCGACGCCCTCCACTCAGACAGCCCAGGAATAACGATCTCTCTGTTATCAGATAAGGTCTAAAGAGTCCTAGGGCCCTAGGATTGCATTTCTAGATCAGCGAGCCTGTCAGGTTATCAGTCCTGGTGGTCATCTTCCAGCTGCTCCCCTCCTTCTCCAGCTGGTAGCTTTGCAGGCACTGCTTGGCCGCCCTGGCCTGGTGGAGCTTCAGGCTGTTCTCATGGCTGACCCTCGCTGGGGGAGGCCGAGCTGCCACCCACACCCAGGGTGCCCTGTGAACACAGAGTACCGGAGAGAGTGGCCTGTGCCTCTGGAATGCTCCGTTCCATTCTGTGTGGAAGTGAAGATGACTTAGCCCCTTTGGGAAGAGAAACCGCCCGTAGGTTCACAGGTTCTCTGAGAGAAGGTATCCATTAGGATCATGTAAAGGGCCCACTGACACAGCAATCTGAAATTTTTCTAGAGACGGAAGATAGGTCTCCAAATGAGGAAAACCTTTTAGCTGGGATCAGGCCAACTCTCTTTTCTCTATTTCCAAACTCCTCCCTCATTTTCCACATCTTACTTACACAGGATTTGGGGAGAAGGGAGAAGCCAGCAACCTGAGGTTGGGTGTACCCCTTACACAGTGTCTCACCACACCTTCCCACCAGGCACCTTTAAACCAGAGTAGCAGCACTCTGGGACTGGCCCGTCCCAGTGGCCACCTCAACTGCCTGTCCTGGAGAGAGAGGGGACATTTCTGTAGGAGTACCCTGGGCTCTGGGGTCACACCTAATGGTCTAAACAACCCTCCTGAAGTCCTTTTCCCATTCTGTAATTCCGTAATTCTACCCTCATTTTGTTCTTTCTTCTTTTATTATTTATGAAGCAAGGGTTTGGGGCTTATCCATCCACTGTTTTTATTGTTGCTTGGTGTTGCATTAAGGCTTACAAATATTATAGCAAATACAGTTAAAAATATAGTCTCTGATCCTTTCATTCATCAGTGTTCCACTTACTTTTGGCTCTTCTGTCAGATTGTAGCGTTCTTTGCAGCCACCCACACAACAAGAAGAGTGGGTTAACCTGACGTTTCCAGCAAAAAAGCACGACTCAGCAGTAACAACACAGAACAGGGGTGCACCTTCAAAGGCTCCACAGAAATGTCCCAGAATATCACACGTGCTCACAGAGTCAACAGCAACCTGCTCCAAGTTCAGAGACTCAAGGCAGAAATCTGTCACCTTGTTAAGGTGGTATTTACCTCAGTCATACACAAATGAGGATTTGATGAGTGACTAAGCAACATTATTTGGTGTAGAAATTGGTCCAAAGTGACATCCTCAATTTAAAAAAAAAGACAGAAATGAAACCCAGATGCTACCTCATGTCCTTTTCAGAGCGGCCTATCAGGAGTGACGTCACCACTGACCACTTGACTGAGACACCGTCTGCCACACGGTTCCAGATGAAGCTACCGTTTTCCCAAATAATCAATAAAGAGTTTGTGGGAATTTGAGATCATGTAGATGTCCTGTCCCTCAAACGTTCCCCAACAGCTATGGAGTCCACTGATGATTTTTGCCTGAACTACGTACTGCTCTGGAGCCCTTGTGGTGCAGTGGTCAAAAACTCGGCCGCTAACCAAAAGGTTGGCAGATTGAATCCACCAGCCGCTCCTTGGAAACCCTACGGGGCAGTTGTACTCTGTCCTGTAGGTCACTGTGAGTCGGAATTGACTCAACAGCAACAAATTTGTTTGTTTTGTTTTTTTGGTAATTACTCCTCTGACGGCTACAGAATGGTGATGTTCTGACTCCAGTATTCCTTCTCGACTTGATAGCTAGCATTCTACTCTGAAGAAGAGCTTTCCATTCTCCCATTTATCCATTTATTTATATCAGTACAGACCCACTAGCTTCTTATGTTATTCAGTGGGGTATAATCCATTACTAGTATCGTTTGTTTCAAATCTCAAACTATCCCAGATCTGGCCAGTAAAGTCCCTTCACTTTCAAGTGTGTCCTTTTCTCCTGGCGCAAGGTGCTCCAGGCTCATCTTTTACTTCCTCTGCCCCACTCCTGGCATCAACCATGTCTCCAAGGATCCCTGGCTCCGTGTGGTGGGAAGGGTATGTAGAAACCAAAATCTGGAGCTAGGTGTGCCACTGGGGCATTGCTGTTCCCAGGTCCTCTCAGTGTGCTGAGCTAAGACCTTTTACACACACATGTCCATATATATCTACTCCTATTTCTATATCTACCTACCTATTTATATACAAAAACGCAAGACTTCACCCTGATACCTTTAATCCTAATCCAGCACCACATGATTCATGCTAGTCCCCCCACCACTTTCCGTATCTGTGACTCCCTCTACCATCAGTGATATTCCTGCCAAAAATGCATGATCTGAATACAATCATGAAGAAATATCAGACATACCCAAAACAAGAGACATTTTATAAAATAAATGGCCTATTCCCTTCAAAAATGTCCAGGTCTTGAAAGACAAAGAAAGCTGAGGAACTTGTCTAGATTAAAGGAGACTAAACCCACAGGACAACTAAATGTGATCGTAGACTACATCCTGGCTGGGAAAAAAGGCTACAGAGGACATTATTGAACATTTGATATAACTTTGAATATAGACTGTGGATTAGATAACAGTATTGGATCAGTGTGAAATTTCCTGATTTTGATGATGGCACTGTGGTTTTGTGGGGGAATGCCTTGAGCTTTGGAAATACACACTGGCGTATTTAAATATTAAATACGTGACGTCTGCAACTTACTCTTGATGGTTCAGAAAAAGTGTGTGGAGGGAGGCAGGGTGAAGGGAGAAGCAAATGATAAAGCAGATTAGGCAAAATGTTATCAGGTGTGCATGTCACAGGCGTTCTTTGTAACGTTCTTATAATTTTCTTCTATGAGTTTGAAATCATATCAAAATAAAGTTACACGATGAAAAGGAAATCAGGAAAACAATACCATTTTCAATAGCCCCTAAAAAGATAAAATACTTAGGCATAAATCTGACCAGGGTTGTAAAAGACCTATACAAAGAAAACTACAAAACATTACTGCAAGAAACCCAAAGGGATCTACATAAATGGAAAAACACACCATGCTCATGGATAG